AAAGTGTGGTTCTCAATATACGTTTGATAATTTTTAAGTTTGTTTTTATTTATTTTAAATTTAATATGAGTAAAATATTAAAATTATTATATTATAATTCATATTTATTTATTAAATATAAAATATATTTTTTATTAAAATTTTAGATTATATTTAGATTATATTATTATTTATTATATTATGTTTAAAATTATCAAAATTTTCTTAACATGCATGTGCCAATCACTGTTATGCCTTTCGCAACGTTTGGGTTGTACCAAGGTGAAATGCTACACCGAGATCAAATCAACCCTAGACTGCCCTTGTGAAGGAGCGAAAAGAGAAGGGTAATCCACTAGACCGATCCTATAGAGCAAAATTATCATAGTTTGGTAGCCGGGCAGACTCTTTTTCTGAATAGACCATGTTTTTAGTTTTACCCTAGACACTAGTTAGGAAAAACAAGTGAGAATCCAATAGCCAAAGCAGGCTATTACCTATAAAATAAGAGAAAAACGATGTTCATTTTGGCTTCCATGCATGTGATCCCGGATTTTGGTCTTCTTCGATACGACGTTGAAAACTTCTTATATTTTTTGGTTGATTTTGTAGGCAATAGAAGATAAATTCCACCACTTTTCAATACGAAAATTGAAGGCCTTCAAAGTTTAAATTATTTTATCTAAGAATATAAATAATATATTAATATTTACAAATTATTTAAATTTAAATTCGATTTGATTATTATCGAATTGAATTTAAATTCGAATAATTTGATTCATCGATCGAATTGAGTTCAAGTATTTTTATATCAGATTCGAGTAATTTACGAGCTTAATCAAATTTTTATATTTAAAATTTTTTATTATTTTAATTAATAAAATATTTTGAATTTAAGTTTGAATTCGAACATAAATAATCGAATTCTTATCGAATATAAGAATAGAGCTTATTTTAATATATTAATCGAACAAATTCAAGTAATTTGATCTCGATCATGAATCGAATTCAAATTAAAAAAATAAAATTTAATCGAGTTCAAACCGAATATAAAACTGTGAGTTAAGAATCGAGCATGAACTTCTCATTATATCGACTCGATTACATCATTAATTACTGTCAAAATACCAAATACCTTTATACCTATGGTTACATATTTTACAGCTACTTGGTTATAGACTAATAGTTATACATTGTTTTTCTCTCTTAAGATGGGTTCTTTTTGTTATTCATTGATGGCATTTTATGTCATGTCAAAATGCACTATGAAACTAGTTCCTTGATGCTACTTCATATATAGTAAAAGGTTTTAATTTTAAACCCATGGTTTTCCATCTCTGTTGGCTGTGACTGTGAGTGATAACTGATAGTGCCTTATTTTCATGATTTCATTACATTTGTCAAATAAAAGGAATCGAAACAAAAGCAAAATGAAAAAGATATGAACATGTGAAAGTGATTTATTTTATATTTAATAAATTTTTAATATTTTATAATTTTATATATTTTGATTATATTTTTTTATTTATAATTAATTGATTATAAGTTATATGCTTTAATATGATATCAAAATTAAAATTTATTTTTGATTATTTTTTTTAATTTATTACGTAAATTTTTTTTTATCTTCGTTTATATGTGATAATGATTTGTTAAAGTAAATTTTCTCATATTTAATAAATTTTTAATATATTGTGATTTTATATTTAGATTATACTTTTTCACTTATAATTAATTAATTTTAAATTAAATGTTTAATAATACACCCTAAAAAAACCCCAATTCAAGTTGCTTCAAATAAGTCTAAAAGGTGATAAATTCCTAATTGGTCATTTTTTTCCGAATACATCAAATAAAAAAGCAAAAATGCTTCGGTACCATTTCACCGACTTAGTTCTTGTCTCGTGATAAAGTTAATTTTAAGTTCTAAATTAAATTTAAATTTAAATTTAATTAATTCATATAATTATTTTTTAAAATAATATTTAAAATTTATAATTTATAATAAAATTTTTTTTCGTACTACAATTTTTTTAATAAAAGAAAGTTAATTACGAGATGCAATGGCTGATTAATTTCCTTTGAGAAAAACAAGGGATGCTAAGGCAAAACTCCATCAACCTTTTATTTATGTTTTTTTTCCTCAGTCTCACGTATTTCTCTTTTCTTTCTTAGATGCATGTGACTGACATCAACTTAGTCCTCTATGCTTTTATGTTTTTTCCCATAGCTTGCCTTATTTTTCTTCGATTCATCTTGTCTACTTTTGCTTCAACATATCTAGGATTGTCCGCTTCTTTGGCATTTGCTTTATTATTTAGGTAAGTGCACTTTTACCCGTGGCTAGACAAGGGAGCTTGACGGGTTTGTAGGCATCTATGATCGATGTGAATGAAGTTGGTACTCCCGCAGTGTCACCTTTTCTTTGTTTATCACAATCAGATACTGTCATCAAAGTCTTTGGCTTTACTTTTCTTTATGATTTCACTTTTTTTTTATTGAAGTTTTAATTCATTTCATGTCATGAGTGCAAAAGAGAAAAAAAGAAAGAAAAAATCCTGATAAAATATGTCACTCTCTTTGGTCCCCTCCTAGGACAGGCCCATCTCTTTTGAAATTTGGTGCATGGTTGATTCTTAGCTAATTGTTTTTATCTTTTCTTTTTCAAAGAAGATCAAAAGTAGATGCGCTTGTTTCAGTCAAATTGAAAGCTTATGAGAAGCGGAGACGGGAAAAAGAGTGGGTAATTTATGTATTAGTTTTGTGTCTATTTTATTTTAATGTGTAAAATATAAAAATTATTTTATAATAATTAATGTTAATAAATTAAACATGATTTTATTTTTATTTTTGTTAATTTTATATATAATTTTTATTAAAAATTTTAATTTATATTATTTTTATGTATTTTTTATATTATTATCATATAATATTTAAAATTATCAGATTAAATAAAAAGCGATGCAAGCAAGTTGTGCCAAATTAAAGTCCAAATCTAGCATTACAAATGTGAATGAGGGTTAATCGCATTTATATTCTCCAAACTTTGAATCAAATTTTATTTTATTCTTTAATTTTTTAAAAGTTTTAATAGCACCCTATTTGCTCAAAGTTATTCTGTTCCGCCTATGGAATTGTTTACTTGACTATAAGTGCCAATTGGCATCACATAGATGGGATTAAGTAACATCTCACATGATAAATGAGAAAATAAAATAAAATTTTGTTTAAAGTTTAGAGATAAATAATACTATTATTTTAAATTTTTTTATATTTCAGGTATATTTTGTAAATATTAATTTAAAATAATAATTTTATTGTAATATAATTTATTAATTAAAAATTTTCTTTTAATAAAAAATAGATTTCAAAAATTAAAATTACGCTTTTTGAAAAACATTACATGTCATCTTATAAAATTATGTAAAAATTTTTATATCGGTTTAAAATATTAAAAAAATTCTATTTCATTTTAAAATATTGAGTAAGAATTTTCATATCATTTTAAAAAATTAATTTATTAATTTATTAATAATTTTTTATTATAAAATTTTTTGAATATATTCTTTATTAAAAATTTATTTTTATAAAAATCAAAAATAAAAAATCATAATGGCCATTACCTTGACCAATCCAGCGAGGGCAAGAAATCATATTATTTAAAATAATATTTCATTTTATATAAATATAAATTTTTTTTATAAAAATAGATTCAAAATAGATTTTTTTGGATAAAAAATAGACTAATGAACCTATTTTTAAAATGATATAAAAATTTTACTTAATATTTTAAAATCATTCGGAGTTTTTTATTTAATTTTTAAACCAAAGTAGAAATTTTTAGTTCATTTTTAAAATGATATGAATTTTTTTAAAAATTTTTGAAAATTTTAACTTAATTTTCATTTTTTAAATTTATTTTCTACTTAAAATATTATTTTACAGATAAATCATATCATAATAAAAATAAAAAATTATTTTAAATTATTTTTAAATAAAATATATTTAAAATATAAAAAATTCAATTTTCCCTTTAATTATTTTTATTTTTCTATTTGTTTTCTTTTTCTTCTTTAAAAAATATATTCTATAAAATATATTAGAAAAAAGAAAAAGGAAATGATATTTAATATTAATAGAAAATATTTTTTTACATAGAAAATAATATTTTCTATTATGATTTATCAAAAACATAATATTTTTAATAAAAAATAGATTTTTTATTTTAAAAATGATATGAAATTAAAAAAAAAAAGAAAATTGAACTGTCTAATTAATTTTAATTTTTGAAAATCTATTTTTCATTTAGCAAAAATATTTAACTAATAAGTCATATTACAATAAAAATATAAAAATTTTATTTTAAATTTAATATTATAAAAAATAACTAAAATATAAAAAAATAAAAATAGTAAACATCTCTAGTTCATAAATTTTAAACGAAATTCTATTTTGATTTTTACGTTTATCACATATGATGCTAACTGACACCATTCATGTGGCATCAACTAATATTTATTATTAATTTAAATAATTTTATAGATGAAATGATTAAAATAAGATAATTTTAAATTATTAAAGATCCAAATAAAAATTTTTAAAGATTAAGAATAAAAAGAAAATTCGATTCAAAATTTAGAGATAATAGATGTTATTAAGAGCTAGTTTAGAATTGTTGTTGCCATTGACAAAAAAATTTGAATTGAAAATATTACATTTAAAAAATATGATTAAAAATTTCAGGTGCTTAGTATCGATATGAAAAGATATCGAGTAATTAAAATATCTAAAAGATATGTAAAAAAATAATAAAATATCTTTTATGCCGAATACACTTTTTCACAGAAATAGCAACTCTTGAAGAGTTTCTTAGTTTGGATTAGAAACCCAAGCTATTAAATTGAAAAGCCAAAATTTTTATGTTATTTAATATTATATTTAAATCAAAAATAATTTTTAAGCACAAAAATTATTTTCAATAATAATACTAAAAGAGCCTACCCTGTTAATAAAGACTGTAAATGAGGTGAACATGTTATAGCATAGTTGGCCTCGGTGCCTCAATTGGATGGGAGTCGTAATGTCTTGATTTCGCCTTTTTGAGGTTAGTAATTGCCTTTGTTGTTGGCTGCTTTGGGACTCAGCATTTAGCTTTGCAGCCTGATACGTTTGAATTTACTAAGCTCATATAGTCATGACTCATGACATATCAAAGCAACCAAAGGTTTGACAAGGCAGGAGATGTTCCACATTTTAGAATCTGAAGTTAAGGTACGTTCCGAGCACATCGATGATCCATTTACATTCATGTCTTGTGCTCTATCATTTTTGAATGCTTAAGCCTTTGCTTGAACCTTTGAAACTTTAACTTTCTTGCCTTTATGGATTCAAGGACAGATAGGATCTTCAAAAGATTGCAATGAGAGATAGAACAGTCCAATACCAAACACAAAGAGATAACATAAATCAAGAACCCATGAATTACAATAATTTCCCATGTCCGCTAAGAGAAATACACACAATCTTCTCATTCTAAGAGAAAATAAATAAATAAATAAAAATAAAAAACTCAGTGTTCTCTCCGGCTATTTTTACTTCTTCCAACCACGGCAAGCTAAATCAGCCAAAATTCACTATTATCATCACAAATGTGTTGTACACAGAAGAATGAACTTACATTGCTGCCATTTGAAGGGATCACTTATGGTCTGCAGCACAATGAAGTTGGAAAAAATGTGCTAAAAAGAATGAATACACGAGTGGTTTTAAGAGGTGGGATTCTATGTTCTCGCCTAATAATACTTATACTACCAATCAGTAATAAATAGACATCAATAAATCCCTAATGTAATTTGAACTAATCCATGTGCCTATTTAAATATAAATTAGGAAAAGTGCAAACATACCAATTAACCTAAGGCATATTCCACTTTAGGGAACCTTGATTGCTTGAATGGATTGCATAACATCAGAGACAACAATGATGAAGTCACCTGAGTTGATCATCCCTCTTGCTTTAAGCAAGGAAAACGTTCTGTTTAGATTGCTATCAACATCATCGGAGAAATCAAGGCGGAAGGGTATCAAACCCCACCGCAAGTTCAAGCACCTACGGATGGATGTTGTGGGTGTAAATGCAAAGACTGGGCAATCAGGCCGATTGCGGGAAAGAAGAGAAGCTGACTGTCCAGTTTTTGTGTAAACAAAAATGGCATCTGCTTCCAGTTTCTTAGCTGAAAGTGGAAAAAAAAAACCACCATGTTACACAGGAAAAATTATCATGAAACCATTGAGAAGAAAGTCATTCCAAACAAATTATTGCCATTAGCATTAGGGAAAGTAAGAAATATATTACCACTGAGATCTCTTGGCCAAAAAAAAAAAAAGGAATTCTGTCTATGTAAATTTTAGCTCCTTAATCACAGAATTTGATGGCATTTGTATGAGCTTCTATTCATATTCATCACTTGTGCGGAAACAATTGGAAATCATATTCTATTCAGTAGTTTAGTTTAACAAAAAGAAAAATGCAAAGCCACTCACCCATTCTGGAAGCTGTATTACATATCTCCTCAAAAATGATAGCAGGCATGGAAGATGACACAATTGGAAGGTCAGCAGTATCCAAGTGCTTCTCCTCCCTCCGCTGCCTCTCAATTCTCAAACTGACACTTCTTAGCACTGCTAATGCCTTCTCAGGGTATAGACCCATGGCTGATTCACTGGAAAGCATTAGACCATCTGCCTGCTGCCCTACTGCTTCAGAAACATCAGCAACTTCTGCTCTAGTTGGTATTGGATATTCAATCATGGATTCAAGCAGCTGGGAGGCAACAATGACAGGCTTATTTAGTTGCCTGCACAGCTGAACAACCTTTTGTTGAACTGATGGGACCTGCTCCAGAGGTATCTGTGCACCTAGATCTCCTCTGGCTACCATAGCTCCATCTGATGCCTGAATAATCTCTTCCAAATTTTCCAGAGAGTCAATACTCTCTATCTTGGCAATGACAGCAATACGGCTGCAAAATGAACCATCAGAACACACTGCAGCTACATAGAAGTTTCAAGGGCTTTTATTCAAGGAAATGATCCACAGCTGTTGTATCAACATGGGAAATTTTGCAAATAAACCTTGGGCATAAATTTGTTTTGAGTTATAATTGAAAGAAACATGAGAGTGCATGGAAATTAATAATAATAAAACTTGTCAGTGGACATTGATGTAAATTTATAGCTGAACATTTTTAAGCTTTACAAGTTTCACAATTTGTTGTTAATAGTTCAATATCTGAAGCAATAAAATGCTATACATGCTTACCTTTCAGGTGATTGGGCAGTTATGTAACTTTTTAGAGTCTTAATCACTTCAGCGGACTTCACAAAAGACACTGCAATAAAATCTACACCTTCTGCAATTCCAAAATCAATATCCAGCCAATCCTGAAAGAAATATAAGTGTTTGAAGTCTGAATATTATATATGAATTCTTTTCAACTTTTCTGGTTTAAAGTAAGAATCAAATTACCAGCTTTTAGGCTTTGCTTGATAGGAAGAATGAAAAGGTATAAAGGATAAAAAAATTGTTAATCTAATGGTACACTATAAAGTAGTGAAATAGTTATAAAATGTAAACATTGGATTAAAAATATTTGTATCCTTATCCCTTTCCATCCTTCCTACCAAGCAAGCCTTAGAAAAAAAAAAACCTTGCATATGCATGAATGCACCAACTCCACAAGGATCACCCACAATAAATTGGTACCTTTCTTGCACAATAAAAACCATTCAATTATACTTTTATGACAAAAGGGATCTTATAGAAACTGACAAAACAATTGATTGTTTGAAAGGTATGAGACCTTTGAAGATATCGTAGGAAGCATGGCATTGCGCTCTTGAACTAGACTCCCATTTCTCCAAAAAGTAAGATTAGCACGAGGTAATAACAGCCCTCGATCAGTACAGTGGCAGATTACATCTGGACCAATCTTCTCAGTTACCACAAACCTCACCATTCCTCCATCAACAAGAAGCTCATCACCAACCTTCACATCTGTCATGCATGATAAAAATCAATGCACTATTATTTGTCTTCACAAATTAAACAAAACTCCAGCGGTTTTAAGCAGAAGAAGCAATGAAAGCAATAGCCGCATGGCAAAGACAACTCATGCTCATAACACAAAATTGTTAGATTAGTGAGTCAAAATGATGATGTCGGCTCAAAAAGGATTTACAATGTCGTCAAGCTGGAAGCCGGAGCTCTTTCATTGCCAGCAAAGATGCATGGGATGAAAGCGGAAGAAAAACAAAATGTAAATTTTGATTGGTTTTACACTTAGCATTGGTGGGGTTATTCATTGAAAAAATCTTTGTACAAATTTAATGACACAAAATCATAATAAACTAAATACAAAACCAGATTTAAGTAACACATAATCCTATATTAAATTTATCTCACAATCCAAAAAACGAAAAATTCAGTGCTCTTCAAGTGTTAAAAAACTTAAACTGGTACAATTTTTTTTTCTTGGATAGCTAAACTAAACAAAGCACATCTTGAAAGGTGATTATTGGTTGATTCAATTGTACGGCTTATAAAAATTTTACCTTCAGCGAAACCATCATAGTTAACAGTAATGGTACGTTCCGGACACGATGGCGGATCAAATGCTCGCACAGTAAAAGTCCATATTTCACCATCCTACGAGAAACGATCGAAGTTTAACATGCAGAAATAATTCCACTAACCATTAAGCTGGCTTACCTCGGCTTTGGCCGATTCCGCGCCGTTTAGATCATCCATGTGGATCTCACTACCTTCCGTGTCCATCATAACCGCCACGGCGAACCCTTTCTCTTCGTTTAACTGCCTCACCCGCCGGATCACGTCTCGGTGCCACTCGCGGGTGCCATGGCACATATTGACACGCGCCACGTTCATTCCTCCCACGGCCAGAGCTTCAATCTGTTCGAATTCGCACGTGCGGGGCCCGATCGTGCAAACGATCTTGGTCCTGCGAGTGCTCCTGAACCCGTTCTCCTTTAGCTCCGCCTCCGTCACCATGTCCACATCTAATCCCTCCACCTCAGTCATCGCCGCCGGCGACGCCATCGTTATCGGTAACGCAGAAAGCTTGACTTTCAGGTTTTCGGGTAAGACAACCCTAGAATGCGCGGCCGTCATTGGATTCAAAGCTGGCACGTGGTTGGGCACGTGAATGTGGGGTTTAAGAAAGGGCATTCTGGGGAATTCTCGAGACTGTAACGGAGACAAGGAAGCCGAGAAGCGGAAGGACCCAGACATGTTCGTCGAGAAAGAAAAGAATCTGGTCAGGGTTTTATTCGGAGGCTACGAGGTGAGGTTGCTGGCTGCGCGGAGCTCGGGTCGGCTCATTCAATAGGGTTTGGAAGAAAAATAAAATCAGTTTGCGTGTGACAGTGATTTTGACAAAATGACCAAATTTTCTAAATGTCTTTGGACGGTTATGCCCTCTTGAATTGCGGCGCGGGAAATCTTCATTGGCTAGATTCGCAGAAAGATTCACAACAGCCTTGTGTTTGGGCTATTGAAAAATTAGGCTCACTTGAAAGCCCTTTAGTCCAATGAGCCCTTAAAAAGCAGCCCATGGAATTTATCAAGTCAGGTGTTTGGTCCAAGGGGCTAGGTTGACTTGAAATTATGAGAAAAAGTAGGGGTAGATTAAAATTTTGAAAATTTGAAATGGCGAAAATTTCCCACGCCATTTCGTTTTCCGGCATTTAAAATGACAAACCACTCTTTTATTTCCATTGTTTATTCGCTTTCTGGCTTCTCATCCCTCTCAGGTCTCTCTCTCTGCCGCCACTCCTTATCTTTAGTTTTTTTTTTTTTCGTTTTCGATTGAAATTTATGAACTTTTGAAAATGTGTTTGAGCAGATCTGTTTAGCTTTTAGCAGATCTGGGCTTTTACTAATTTCTGCTGGTATTATTTTTTATTTTGGGTTTCTTGTACTGATTGAGAGTTGAATGTGGGTATTTTTGAAGCTGAAAGAAGATGGCAGGAAAAGGCGGAAAGGGGCTTTTGGCGGCGAAAACAACCGCAGCTAACAAGGATAAGGACAAGGATAAGGACAAGAAACGCCCAGTTTCTCGTTCATCTCGTGCCGGAATTCAGGTATTTCTCAAATCACAACCTTTTACTTGGTTTCATGCAAAAAGTAGTATTTTTTATTTTTTTTTCTTTCGTTTTTGTGTTTTTAATTATATAGTCTTAGTCTCTTTGCATGTCTTGGCTCATGAATTACAAAATCAAAAGAAAAAAAAAAGGAGTAAATATTAGAATATTGGTATATTTCTAGAACAGCTTTTTCATTGTTCTGTTCCTTAGTACCATTCACACTTGTCTTTTAGTTGGTGCTGTTCTTAATGCTAAAAGCAATGTATAGTGCACTTTTCTTTTGGGATATACGATATGGGTCTTCAATGATTTACAGTTCTAGTTTTAGTTTCATGGAAAAGAAGTACTCAAGTGGTGAGATCGGTTTTGATGAGATTGAAAATTATAATAAACATTATTGTAACTGTGATTGAAAAAATTATTTCAAAGAAAAATTTATGCTGAATGAATTTCATTGGAGTTGGTATTTGGATTTAACTGGTAGTGTGGTGAGTTCAACCGTATCGCACCGAAAGTGTAAGGGAATCCAGACCGAAGTCTAGTTTCTGGAAAGTTTTGAAGCTAATTGCATTTTGATCATTTCATCTTTTCTTTCTTTTCTGTCCTTGGTTTCATTTTTCTCTTTCTCAAGAGATTTTGTTGCATGGATTGGTAACATTCTTGAACTTGAAGCATCTCAATCAACAAAGTACCTGTACTTGTTGCGTAGCGTTTTATCTTTAACTAAATCACATACTTTGTTCCTGTTTTATGGGTTAAATTTATTATGGTTATATGTACTTATTCAATCCTGTATTTAGGATTGAATAAGAAGGTTTTTCTCTCACTCACCCCCTTGCCTTTATACGTTTCATTTTTGTTTTTGATATTAGTTTCCAGTGGGTCGTATCCATCGTCATCTCAAGTCTAGGACATCTGCAAATGGGAGAGTGGGTGCTACAGCTGCTGTTTACTTGGCCTCTATCCTTGAGTATCTGACTGCTGAGGTTCTTGAGTTGGCTGGAAATGCAAGCAAGGATCTGAAAGTGAAGAGAATCACTCCAAGGCATCTGCAGCTGGCTATTAGAGGGGATGAAGAGCTTGACACCCTGATCAAAGGTACCATTGCTGGAGGTGGTGTGATCCCTCACATTCACAAGTCCCTAATCAACAAAACCACCAAGGATTAGTTGTCTCTGATTTTAACTAGATGTTGACTTTTGAGTACTCCTACATGTTATGTGCCTTCTTTTTGTTGTAGGCTTTGTTAATCTTTCTAGAAGAACTGGTCAGTATATATGTTGCAACTCTCTAGGCTTGTTCATCTGGACTTGGGATCTCTGTTTAGAGTAGGAATGATGTTTGTTGGATAGTCTTAACTGTGGTTTCCCTAGATAGTTTATCCGATTCTAGCTGCTAAGTTCAGTGTTTGCGTTTGACATGATTGTGAAATTGTTTTTTTGTTCACAATATGCAGCCTTTGCTCTTATGCTTAGTTACATGGTACGGCACGGAGCATAGTCGGTCGAGTTTCTTTCAAATATTAATCAAGAAACATTTCTTGAGATTCATGATTATAAGATAGGTGAAGTTTGACCAAGGCTTCATAATTTGGTGTGAAACTACTTGTCAGGGTGTAATAAGCTTTGAAAAGGTTGTCACCATTGCCAAAGCTTATTATTCTGTACGATAACACTTAAAAAGATGACAATCCCAAAATTTATATTTTCTTTGTTCTATTTTTTTTGTTTTTCTTTTTTGGAATGTTTTAAAATTATGTTTTATTATTTGTTTGTATATCTAAAATTTTTAATTTTTTTTATATTTTAAAATTATATTTTATGATTTTTTTATTTTTTAATATTAAAAATAATGAAAATTTAATTTTATAAAAAATTTATTTTAATATTAAATATATTAAAGTCAAAATATATTTTTTTTAATTTTCAAATTGCATCTTTTTTTTATAAAAATAAATGGGGAAAAAAAGTTACTTTTTTATTGATAAATTCTTTAGCACTTAGATTAAGATTCAAAATATCTATGCACACTTATATTTTATCAATAATGAAGTTTCTTCTATCTAATTTGATATTCAAGTTTAGAAATTCCGAGTCTCTAGCAAATGGTATTTTTTTTCGCTAATTAACCTATATGGTGAACCGACTAATTGATGATGAAATAAAGTTTTTGATGGATAATAAAATACTTTGGGGACCAAAGTTATCAACATGTGCTTTCTGTCATTTACTAGGACTCCAAGCTGCTGGTCGATGATTGAGGAAGTTTCATTGCCTAGTTCAATCATCCAGCCAAGTACAAATTGGAGGAGATAGCTTCAAGCCACAGTGGAGGATGACGATGTCAACCAACCATGTCATGGAGTGGGCAGGATCGAAAGCTTTGTTCATTTTTAATCCACTCTGATTTCGATCCGATTCTTAAAATATTTTATTCGAAAGCGAAATATTATTTTTTAAATTTGATTTTAATTTAATATTTATAAAATATTATTTAATGTAAATTATATTTTAATTAAATAAAATAAAAATATTTTTGTTAAATTTATATATTAAATTAAAATATTAAATAATAATTTTATTAATATATATGCATATATATATAATTAGATACATAATAAAAATATTATATATATAATATATATCAAGGAAAATAGGGACGAAATATTTTAAAATTGGTTTTCAATTTGATCTTTATTTTAAAAAAAAAAAAATTCAACCCGTTTTGAAACCGATTTTTTTTTTTAATAAACAATCAATATTATCAAATTAAGATAAATCAAAATGCGTCAAACATGGGTTGTTTCGCTAAAGTTGAGGGAAAAAAAATTATGGCTAACAAACTGGACCACCAAAATATGAGAAAGTTACTCTGCTCAATGGGTGCCTCCGCCAAGATTTGCACCATCCAAATCTCATAATGCACAAAATAGATAAAGCTCCTGCCTATGGGAGGTGGGGAAAGATTTAGATTAAATTTTTTAAGTAAAATTCATGATATTTTCAATTAAAATTGATTAAATAAAATTAAAATTTAAAATCAAAATTAATATATAAAAAGATCTTATTACATATATTAAATGTGCAAAATTTAGAAATATTTTAATAAATTTTGATATATATTTTTAAATAAATATTTTTAGAAAATATTAACGAAATTTTTACTGTTAAATAAGTATCGATTAAATTTAAATTATAAACAATATTTTTAATAATTTTTTACATATTATTGATTTTTATATTAAAATCTATCAATTTATTAGTTTAAATTTTTTTAATTAAAGTTTTTATTAAATTATTTTAAAAAATTTACATAAAAAATTTTATGTAAATTTTTTCGGTAGAGTTGAGATGACATTGACCAACCATTATTCCCTTTTTTAAGAAATATTAATGGTTTTAGCTTCTTTTTTGTTTTTGAAAGAATTCAACCTGGGAAGGGAGCATGCAATTATTATTAAGGAAATATTATTTTTCTTCTACTAAAAAAATTTGTAAAGATATTCATTACTTTCATCATAAATTGACGTTGTATTTCTGAATAAATTTAAAATCACAATTTGTCTAGAGCATTTTATTTTTCCTTAATTAATTTTTATCTATCTTTTTATTCAATTTAGGACAATTATAATTTCAACTATAAATTAATTTTTAACATACACTTACCATTATAAAATAAGATGAAACAGTGACATTTTCACTATTAAAAAGGTGACAAACCCACTAGTATTTAGGTGGGCCTAGCCTTATACACATCAATAGTTGCATGAGTTTAGGGCAAAATAATGGCTTAGGGCTTAGGAACCATCCCTCATAATTGAGGAGGAAAAAGAAAGCTCCAGTGGAGATTCAATTTCTTTTTTTTTTCTGTTAGATGTTTCCCGGAAAATGATTGCAACAACATGCATTAAAAACGAGGTTGGTTAGATGAAGATTAAAATCATTTAATGACTTAAACCAAATGGGTAAAAGTGTTTGATAAGTATTGTTAATGGTCCATACTCTATATTTATAATTCAATTTTAATTGAATTAATTTATTTAATTAATTGATTAATTATTAAATTAATTTTAATTGATTATAAAAAATGATCTTAAAAAATTTTAATTTTTAATTAATTTGATTTTTGAATTAAATTTTAATTGTTGGTTAATTCGGTATAAAAATCGAATTAGTTGAATTAGTCAAAATTTTAATTAAAATATTATAAAATTTATATATAAAATAAAAAAATAAAATTATCTATTTCATTTTAAATTATTAAAATTTTTAGCTTAATTTTTTATGCTTGAATATTTTTATTAAATAATTTTATTTAATATGTTTTACATATAAAAAAATTAAAATATAATATAATTTAGTATATTTTATTATTCGATTGAAAAAATTAACCAATCGATTGAATTAATTTCAATGTCAATTCAATTAATTTTTAAAAATAATTTAATTTAAATTTAAATAATTTAATTCAAAATTAATCGAATTATTCAATGAACTCTATCTAACATAGCAAATAGGAAAAAAAAAAAAAGAAAACTAACTTTGAGGCAACTGGTTTTGGTGACAGAAGGCTTGGATATTCTTCACCATACCCAACAGTTCACTTTATCCTACTCAAATCGTACACTCAGTTGCAAATTTTGACGTCTACAAAGTTAGAGTCAAACCAAAAATAACCATAGCTAGCTATGGTGATAAATAGATGTTTTAGGGCTTAACCTTGTGCCCGAGGCAAGAACATGATTCAGGGTCAGGACAATAGATTTCAGACATGGCACGCCTCTATAATTGCCATAAGGGGAAACAAACAACTGAAATTAAACTTGGATGTGTCTTCTACTTCTTTCTGTTCCATCACACTCAATTCTGTGTTTTGATTTGAAGGGGCCAAAGAACATAGAAATTTACTCGATGATGTTCTTTTTTTACAGTTGGATGTAGACCCCATGCGGGAAAAAGAGTTTGGCAAATAGTAACATTAACAACAAATCTCTCCACAGCTCTTTCAGGAACTTAATTGAGAGGGCCCCTGCTTCTGTTTAACACTGTGCTTTTCTCGGCCTCACAAACATGTAAATTCAAGTGAAATAAAGATTGCATCAAGCCGTCAACCAACTCATTGAAGATAGGATTTTAAAAGCGTGTTGGGGGTTTTGTAGGCAAGAAACCATGTTACAGTTTTAAGCTGACAAAATCATTTAAAACGAAGAAAACCAAACCAAAAACAAAATAAACGAAGGAAAAAGGACGATGATCCATTCCTCTGTAGCTTGTATCCTTTACAGCGCATTACAAATTTGTAATATAACTTGTTTTTAATGTCTGAAACGAAGCAAAACAATTTTACAAAGCATCAGTTTTTACAGGCAGGGAACTGAACAGAAGCCAAACATGAAAAGATAGTAAAAACTTTCAAAGCTACGCCATCGAATTCAAACCCAAGGAGAGAGCCGGTGGTTCTTTTTGCCCTGACAACACCAGAGAAGATCTGTGAAGGCAGAAAGCTACGGTTAAAGGTGATCGCTCCTTACTCCAACGGCCAACGCCTTGCCCATATTATGCAGTAAAAGGCCTTTGTAAAGAGCTGTTCTACTAGAGTTCTACTAGTGGTCTGGCCGGCAGCCTGCCGGTTGCAGTTTTTGCCACAAAGGCATTTAAGAAGAGGAGAAAAAAAGGTCCAAAATTGAATGCCAAGAAACGAAAAGAACAGCGGCTGTTCTTGATCTAAGATCACGGGAACATTACGAGCCTTGGGCTCCATTTGTTACAATTAAAAGGTACGGACCAGATTGACAAGTGGCAGCCTCTAGTGACCAGAACTGGATCAGTTGGATACAATTAGATTTTAAGCTCGGAAAATGCTACTCAGTACACATTAAGAACACTCTTGCTGATAAGTGAATATTGTGGAACACATCCGACTATAAGCTTCCATTATTAGGCAATTAAGGGATTTAGCATACGAGAGAATTCTGTCAAAAGATAAAAAAATAAAGAATACGAGAGAATTATGTCAAAACTATTTATATCTTGTCTAAAGTTATGTTTGAAATCACGTCTCAACCTTACCACAATCTGATCCGATGATAAGAATTGCTAGGCGAAGGTATAGTTATTGGTTAGTTTGGGACAAAACTCATTTTGAACTTTGCATCAATGCTAAAAACAATGTCCTTTTTCCGCATCACTTTCACTTTTCTATAATTATATTAAATGGCCAATGTGAATATAATTGATTGCTCAGACATGCGCTTGACAATAAAATTTCAATTGTGGTCACAAAAATTATCCCTCCTTTTTCCAGCTGGCAAAAGCGATCGTCAAATTATGGTTGGATTTCAGGTAAAGGAATATCAAACATCTCGCAAATCTCTTTTTCATCCCTTGCTTTCAGAACACCAATTTCCTACGAGGTGCCGGGATTTTATTACACTTCCCAACAAATGCAGCGAGATCTTCAATGGTTTCGCCGATCAGGTCTTTAAATATTAGTCGTTCGATATCGAGTACAGCTTCGGACATCTCAATGGGGCAATCTCCCCAGCCGTTAATGGCATCCCCCGCAAGGTCCTTTCTTAACACACCAAAAATGACCTCAAACAAGTCATCTGATGAGTCCCTCTCCCGAATCTTTTGGAATTCGGACCAAATTTGTTGCAATGATGTCCGTGCAGCCCCTGAATAGATAAGCTTCCATGGCGGTAATTGTCTCTTTCGATTGAAAATTTCGTTGATGGTGTCAAATATAAGCTTCCTTTGGAGACTAGAGACTTTGGAGCTGTCTTTCCCTTTGAGAAACTGTTGCTTCTCAAGCAACATAAAGACATCAGAGTCATCAGGCAAGTAATTGGATGCGCTGAGGATATCAGAAATATAGATAAAATCACAATCATCTGATTTATCTTCAGACTTTGATTCGGCGGATGGGATTGCAGGACTCCACAGCTCATCTTCTGATTCAATAAGTTTATCTGATAATTTCACCGAAGATGATTAAAGAAAAAAGGTTAAAATCTCATGTTCAGGTTGATTGAAAATTTACCCAATAACAAAATAGTTTTACACTTCTAGCACATCCATCATCCATCCAACATTGATTGAAGAAGAAACATAGTCAAAATCAGTACGGATTATGACAGTAACAAAGGCGCATGCCAGAAGGAGATGACGTATCGAAAAAATATAAAGACCAAAACTCATCGTCGCTTTCACTCTCTTTCCCATATGCCCGTAGTTCTAACAATTAAATTGACAGAGGTGGGGCCATTTCCTACACTTACCAAAGGCAGAATGGGATGCTCAAAATGTTACTGCCTTAAACGAGAGATATTCCTTTCATTTTGGCTGAGGGGAAAGTACGGGGCTTTTAACACTTTTCCCACATCGGGTAATTTTGATTTCCAGTCACTTCACATTTATGTAGGTACTTTGATTACAGTCGCAGTTCTTCGTTTTACTGTTTGAGTTTTGCCCTACAAGACGTAATATTTTCTTAACCAATGCCCTTTTTCTTCCAATCACCATCAACGATCAAACAGAACAATCCCACGTGATTGTACCGCCAACCCCATTTAGATTTTCCCCTCCATTTAAATCATGAGAAGCTCTAAGTTTTGGATGAGACTATTTGACTCATCCGTAATGACAGGCCTAGGGCTATACTACAATAAGGTCTACCGAATGGTACTTGCATTGCAATAGTCAAATGCAAAATCTAGCAAATCAAAATCAGTTCGTAGTCTTTCCCAGAAAAAAAAAAAAAAACCCCAATGAAAAAGGTAATAGTAGAAGTTATTTCTCTTACCTTTGAAATCGGTGTTCCGTTTTATAACAGGGGAAGGAGAAGACTCCTCCTTGTAAAACGATGAGTCAAATACCGAGACCGGACTCGGCTGCAACTCAGTCGTGGCGTTCATCTCTGCAATGCTGTGAAGCAGCTTATCACACCTTTCCAAGAGGCTCCTCTGTTCCTGGTATTCCTCCACCTTCGATCCCTGTAAAGTCAATATGCCATAAAAATGAATCACTGTAATTAAGCAAAAATTAATTAATCAAATCTCCAGTTTTAATTTAACAATTGATCAAAAATTACCTCCGTAACAGTTTGAGAACATGTGCCAATGCTACTCTCTGAAACTATGGGTATTTCGTCCTCCACTGGAATAAATACCTTCTCTTCTTTCTGATAAATCTCAGCCGTTGATTTATTGTTTCTTGGTGATCTATTAGTCGTCTGATCTAATCCAGTTCTTCTCACATTAACCGGAGGCGACTGACCCGGATAAACTTTTCTCTGCTCCACATGATCGTTCTCTCTCCTCTGCGTTTCAACGCTTAAATGCCTTCTGTTAGGATTCTTGACGCCACACGCACTCCTCACCGGAGAATTAAAACCCCTACCATTGGTTTGGTTCCGTACCCTCCTTTCACTTCTCGGCCGGTCACGTCTTGGACTCATCGTCGGCGGTGACTCGAGATTCAAGTTCCAGCAAGCTCCAGGTCTTGATGTATAACTCGAAGGAGGCGAATCACTGCCAATCCTTCTGACTGCTGAAGCCGGTGATCTTCCCGGTTTAACAACGACAATTGGAGATTGTTCATGTTCATAAACCAAGTTCTTGCTATTCGTTTGGTTTGGAGGTTTCTTAGTGCGTAAAAGGCCTTTGAGTTGCAAAGCTTCGAGGATTTGCTTAAGAGTCTCGAGATCCTTCGACGTCTCGTCCATTCCTCTCAGCTTAAGCCGTTTCTCAATCTCTCCGTAGATGGAAACGGTCTGTCTTGGCTCGGGAAAGAAATCAGCTGAATCGTAGAAACATTTTCTTTGGCCCATTCCTTGAACCGGAGCTTTAAACGGTTCAGTTCTTGCATTTCTTAAGCCTTCTGGTCTGTTACTTGTTATTTGGTCTTGTTTGGCTCTATTTTCTCTTACCAAATTGCTCAAAACCACTTCGTTTTGGAAATTTGGTTGCTGGCCCTGCTTTAAATGGAAATTAACTCCATCTGTAAAACGATACTGAAATAGATCTCTGCCTCTTGTTTCCGACGCGGATCTTCGGAGCTTCGCTTTTCTATTGTGTTCGGGATCCGAATGCGGCAACGGTTCGAGTCCCATGAGCCTCGCAATTACGCTAGGTGTCCGTCGTTGTTTGTAGTTGTCATCCACTCCGTTTTCTTCGCTGTTGCTTTCGCATTGGTTCGCAGATGAAATGGCGGCGTTCGTACGGATCTGTCGAGGCTTAAGTCTTCCTTGAGCATCAAGAATGGCTCTGCTATCCAGAGAGAGCCTCGGAGCTTCTTTGGAGAATTTCCATGGTGACCTTGCGCTGCCTTCTTTGAAATCGAAAATGGGAAGGGGAAGAGGTGTCTTGTTCTGGTTTTCAGTCGGAGTGGAAGGTTCAGGCGCCGGAGTTCGGAGCTCCGATGTAACCGGAGATCGCTTTGACTGGTCCGGTGATGATGCTGATCGACCTAGCGGCTGCTTCTCGAATTCTCTCGATAATGCTGGTGACTTAGCGTTCTTCTCTTGCTCCGGTATCGTTTTACTTGCCTGAAAAACAAAACCAACATAGAAATACACTTCAATAGAAGTCCACATCCACATTTGAAAGAAAAATTGTATAGGAAAAAAGAAATGAACCGGCGTGGGAGGGAGGCGCTTGCTGGAGTAAAGGCGTTTGCTAGTAGGAATCTGGTGACGATCAAAGATCTGAAGGAAACCAGCCATGCATCCCATTTGTTTCCCTATTTGCTTCTCTAGATTTTGGTCTTGCACTATTCCCTTCGTCATTTTTTTTTTCTCTCAGCAAAAACGAAAATCCTCTTCTTTCTCTCAACTTATCTTTTTCTTAAACTTTTATCTTCACATTTCTCTTACATGTTTTTCTGTTTCTCTCTCTCGAATTTCCATATAGCTGAGAGTGAATGAGGTTGTAACTGCAGCCTCTACCTGCATGGCCAGCTTTTCTGGTCTTTAAAATGGATGGGCGAAGTTAAAGAAAAGAGCAGGTCAAGTGGACGCAACTTACCCTTACGATTTAATAAAATGACAAATAAGTATGTAAGTAATTACCTTTTGATCAGTTAGGAAAATTGGGGATTGCAATTTTCTGAAGTTTTGAGGACTTTGTTGCAATATAAGTGGCGTAGACCCTGCAATTGCAGGTAAGCCTCCGTGGGCAATGCTGTCTCTTGGGCAGGGGCTGCAGATGAATCGTTTAAAAGCCGTCCAAATGGACAGATGGACAAGAGAATGAAGCCATTAACTTGAACCACGCGGACATAATATAAATGGTTATGCATGAGATGAAGATGTATGAGTCGAGTCAAAACAACAAAAAAAATGGCTTTACCAATGCAAACGAAAGAGGTGATAAATATATAGAAATGCAGCCCGTGAGTAATGAGGCAACGAAACAAAGAAAAAAAGAAGAAACAAACCAATTGTTTTCCGGTCTTTAAAGCTCAAAGACAAAACACACAGCTTGAGTGGACAGAAAATAGAAAAAAAAAACCGCAACCAGCCACCGGCTTGCCAAGACAGTTCTAAAATTTCCATTACAGGTGGCTGCATTAGGGGGCGTAGGAGAGAGAGAGGTGAACATATGTAATTACAAGTGGCACCAAGTAAGAGGATGGATAAAGTTCCTACAGTTTGAAAGGGGACCAATGGGGGCCAGCTCCCAGGCAAGAATGAAGGGCGTTAAGGATTCAGTTAGCTCGCTGTTGCACTTAAACACACCGAAAATATTTTATTCTTTTAAAAATTTAAAGTCAATACAAATTTTTTCATTTTCAGTTTATTTCATCAGAGCACTGGTTTGTTGCAAACACAAGACTCGTGAAAATCAATAGTTTGCCTTTTAATAAATAAACAATGTATCAATCACAACGATTTGGGTCGACAAAGCTGATCCACCTGCATACTTGTGTAATATATCTGTAATGAGTTTCATAAATTCTTAGCTTTTCAATTGGAATAAACTATTCCTAGTAACGGTAAGCAATTACTTCTCTAAGAAATATAGCTGAAAATGAATGACTTTACCCTTTTTTTTGCTTGTTGCAGAGTATATCAGTCAATGATTTTTGTGTATCTTGGTATTCACAATAATCTTAATCTACATAATAATCGAGGAAATATATATCTAAATTTGGAAAGCAAACCTTGTTTATTTTCAATCCTTACTTATATATTGCAAACTTGAATCTGACTAGGTAGCGGTGAAGATAAAGCGAATCCAACCTTGAACACTTTTTATAAAAATGAACGAAAAAGGGAAGGAAAGAAAGAGTGTGAAAGAGAATTTTACTTTCTTTTCACCTGTACTTTCAATTAATAAGAGAAAAATAAGAGAAAGGAAAATATGTGCTACCAAACATAATGTAAGAGCAAACTGAACTCCCTAAGCTCGAAATGCTGTGCTTCCCATTTTGAGGATCCTATATCCTGGTGATCAAATCCAGGTTCCGGTTGCAAACTTATGTATGAGGAGGGCTCTTAATTTAAAGCATCATGTGGTCAAACTTATTGTTTAAGGAGTAGTTTTTGCCACTCCGATCCTCTTGCTATATCAATGAAAGTACTGTTGAGGCTAAAATTGGGAAAATCAACATTCTTGACTGAAAAAGGTAGTTTTCTTTCCTACTAAACTGAACAATTTTAATAGCGGCACATTTTCTTTCGTATGGGCAAATTGGCATCCATGGCCTCATGATGATAAAGTGGGGTTCCTTAGAATTTCAAAGGATCAAGCTGCCATACCCCATGTGAATGGTCTCTACAATGAAATAACAAAATTCCTTTCTGGCTTGCACCATGTGAGAGAGGAGCCACCTCTAAACTCAAAGTCAGATGTATAGTACTATATATTCGTATATATTATCGAAACAGATGCTGAACCCTTTCTCTTATCTTTTACCTAACCTTCTTTTTTCATATAACCCACCTGCATTTCAGATCTGCAGAAACCTTATCTTTAGCTTTTCATAATTACTGACACGACCACTAATTGCAAATTTGCAATAATAAAAATTTTATTAAAAAAAAAACAGTGACATTGATTGCTAAATGAAACTTACTGGGTTTGGGGTTTGTGGGTCCATGTCCTCATTAAGATGTATACGGTGAAAGAGCACAGCTTCCAATCTAAAAACTCCCATGTTCCCTCTGCACACATTCCATCATTTTCTATTCTGTACGTTTAACTACATTTCACATTCCCTTATTGTTTCTTATACGCTATAAAATTCCATAGGGTCAGTCATGTGGTTAGGGAAGTGAGGCCAGTATTTTAACCTGAAAGGAAGATTGGCAAACTCGATAGAGTTCTCCCCTCCCTCTGCATTTACTGCTGCGATCTTGAGAATGCATGTGTATCTAGAAATTTTAGATACAATACAAAATAAATATAATATAAATATTTCAAATTTTAAATAAAATATAAATACACTAAACTATCATATTTCATATTTAAATGAAATAATAAACTGTGGTTCATATTATTGGAATAATTTTATATCTACAAAATTCACTTGGTAACTGAGTTAGATATAGTTTATTACATGATCCGTATGATAATCTTGGTGTCATATCTAATCCCTGTATAAAAAAAAAGAGTAGATAAGAGGAATATTCAAACTTGTCAGGGAAAAATGTGCCCTTTATTATTATTTTTTCCTGTGAAATGCCTCCCGTGTGCTAAGAGAAGGCATTGCTTTGTTATTTTAAGCTAAAAATTTGTTGATTGGGCTAAATGGGTTTGGGAATGCTGAATCAATCATGAAGAGATGGGGATTCTGATTCCTATACGAGGTTATAGTTGGACCACCTTTAACTTTGAAGACTGCTAAATGCCGTGACCATCCACATGGACATTTCCTGTATTTTTCCTCGTGTTCTACGTATTTTGAGATTGTCATGTCTACTCTCAACTCCTAATGCTTCAGACATTGGGTTTAATTTTACCCAGATAAAATTAAAATAAAAACTAAAGCTTTTAGAATTTTGGATTCAAATTTTTATCAATTTCAAATGTCGTTTTGAATTTTAAGTGAAACACGATAAGTATCAAAGCATACGAAGAACTGCCAACTCTCTCAATTAGCAGGGAACGTTAATCCATTCTCCACCATTGATGATTCCCCAACTTTTGATGCCAGTTCAAGTCTGTTGAACGGGAGTCATCCCCAACAATAGTCAAAATCTCAGAATTATACTAAACCTGATAGCACATTTTATCCTAATAAAATGCACATGTCTTATCTTTATCTCTAAAAAAGTTTTGTTTATAACGGTTCATTCTCAGGATTGTTTATTTAAACTCTTGTCATGTGCCAAACAAGACAAAAATGAAAATGATGGTAAAAGAGATGCTTAACGGTCTTTTTGGTTACCTTTTTCAGGTCTTCTCAAAATGGATTTAATTATTTATTTCCACTTTTCAAAAACAAAAAATTTTTGTTTCCACTTTGATCGGGAAGCGTAGCTCAGCTGCCAAAAATAAAAGTTCATCGATGGATGCCCATTTCACATGGCTTCCTCTCCCCTCTTTAAACTGCAAGTGGAATTGGCTTCATTGAAGAAAGTAAAACAACATTCCAAAAAAAAAAAATCTATATAAAAATTAATAGCCATACGTTGATACCATAATCCCTAATATAATCATGTACTAAGGATTTAATTAGCAACATTTAAACTTGCTATGAAAATTTTTTATTAATTTGATACTTAAAGTCGAAAAATTCATAAACAGATACTTTGCTTTATTCATCAGTTTGCATGCAAGGTTAGTTAAATTAATTACATTTTCAAAAAGCAACCAATAAAAAACATTTCACATGTCTTAAAATGACATGTTAACATGCCATGCATTATGATTTTATTAGATGTTTTGGACGTCATTTATTTGATAAAAAATATTTATCATATGTGTAAACTGATGAAATGAATCGAAATCCGATATTTAATTTACGAAATTTTAAATTGTACTAAAACAAGAATTTGAATATAATTCAAATATTAAATGTGTAATTAATTATCTTTTAAACTAAAAAAATAAGAGTATTTATTTTATATTATGATTATGCATTGTAATTTTATAAGAATATTTTTTCACATCAATTTAATACATTAAGATTTTACTCGCATTTTCTTATATTGATTTAGTATATTCAAAATTTTATTTTAAAAATGTTTTTACAAAAATTGAATCTTAATTGACAAATAAAGAAAACTTTTATTTTTCTTAATTAAATTAACATTTACGGGCATTTTTTACTTTATTCATACATATTGTAAAAAAATTGGGATCTAAAAAATTTTATTTTAATTTTATAAAAAAGAAACAAACAAATAATAAAAGCATAAATAGCAAAGAAAAAGTTTGTGTTTTGGGTTTCTGAATGGGCAGTACCATTTATTATCATAGGTTAATTGAATTTAAGATTAAGCAAGGAGAATGTATTAAACACAGAAAATAAAATTATTAAACATTAAATTACAATAAGGTGACATTTGATATGGGATAATCATTTTAAAAATATATAATGATTTATAAATGGTGATTAGATCATAATATTTGGTTAGTTTTTAATAATTTTACATGACAGTAAAATTATTGAGAGTGACTAAATCTTTGCTTTGAAAAATAATTTAATTTTTATTTAAAAAGATGATAAATTTTTATTATTGAAATAAATTAAAATATAAAATTAATAATAATCAATATTATTATTTAATATGTGAATTAGAATTCCAAATGTTTAAGTGCAGTCATTAACTTTTGCAATCCACAAAATTGAAAAAAAAATGAAAGTAAGATTTCCAGCTTTCCCATTATACAATTTAAAACAAAATCCCAAAAAAAAAATATTGGTATTCTTGATTTTTTACATGGTTAGGACTTAATCACATTTTTAATGGGAATATAAATTTTGAGTAGACTTGTTTATAGGTTAAGTTGGATCAGAGTAAGTTTGATTGACTCCTAAAATCTTTTATTTAAGATTTGATTAATCAAATTTGAATAGGTTTAATAACTATTAAAAAAAATATATAATATTATAAAATATTATTTTATATTAATATTTTATATATTTTAAAATTAAATTTAAATAAATTTTATTTATTTATTTATTAAACGATTTGAATCGAACGGAATTCAAACTACAAAATTTATATTCAAAACTCCATATGAGTCGGACTAAACTAGCAGTCCAAGCAAGTAACCGACTCATGAGCATGTTTGATTAGGCAAATAAACGTAATGGCTTCAGGTCCTTTAACTTGGGAGCAGGTGTCGCTCTTAACAAATCTCCGCCTCTCCCCTAGCATTTCGGACGAGGAACACCTACTCCAGCTGAAACACCTTCTATCTGCTCAAGTTCTGTGATCTTGTTTTTTTTTTCTTTTTCTTTTTTTTTTCTGTGTCTTGCCTATGGATTTAACTGGTTTGAGGCTCAACCGCTCAACCAATGATGGTTGTGGGATGCGTGAGCTATTGCATTTGCAGCTAAATCTCATGGAGGCATCACCATAACCTGCCGAATGAATATATCGTGTAAATTATTTCGAGGAATTGAGTTTTACTTGTAGAAGTCTAGAGCCAATAACAAGAATTAATGTGATTTGACTGAATAAATTTCTGAATTTCATTTTGCTTTTGTAATATCAATCATATGTAGAAATAACTCTCTCATTCCGAGTTTTTGTTAATTCATTCTCATTACCTATTACAAGAACAGAGTTAAGTGCTCTCACTCTGATCCTTTCTTAACTTTCCAGTGAGCAGAAAGCAGCTTCAATTGAAATGACTACATAAACATGAGTTGAAACTGTGAAAGTTAAATCGATGGATATTCATTTGATGAATAGATTTCAGAATGTTCACAAACGTATGTAATGCATCCATTTACATTCATATAACCATTCTCCTAATTCCTTAGTAGTAATTGTACATTTTGCAAAAACACAACCCTAGTTTGGCCCATCATTATTTGAATTTATGAAGAGAAATGAAATCAATCTGTTACGGTTCTGAAACAAGTTCTTCCGATATATATAATTAGGTAAGATATGAAAATAACTTGGGGAAGGGACTCATACCCGGCAATCCATGTATTCTTGTATTTATTTTATGTAAAATACGAAAATGATCATATTATAATTCATGTAATTTTCCGAACACAAAACATATATATATATATATATTACTAAATCCATACACAATTTTTACCTTTTAAACTATATTATTTTGTCTTTTTCGTATGTTTTTGTAACATATTACCATATCCTGTTCAAAATTTCAAATCTACACCCAATAAATAATTAGGTTAAATTTGGAAATAACTTGTTTTGAAGCTCATTTCTGCAGTAGATGTAGTATCTGATATACAAATTTTATCAGAACATAGAAGTAAAATGTACAATCAATTTGAGCCATCCGAAAATTTTGGCATTGCACACCGTGGAAAGCGTCAATTGAACATTTGTTAAGATAACAATTGAGCTGTAACATATTGGCAACAAATGTTAGATTGCCTCAAATCACAGAATCCAGCATCTGCAACCTTGTGAATCTGGGGGCCCTTCAAACCATATATCCCATGCTGGGTTTATAGGACCATTTGTTCTGTAATCGGAATAAATCCAAGCAACAGAGTTAAAAGCAACGATTGTAAACAGAAAATAAGAGAAGAATACAAGTTAATTGTAATTACATTGAGAGTAGTGGATCAGGTCTGGTCTCCGTGCAATGCAGAAACCTGAGAGGGAAAAGAGGCAGATATTAATCCCGATCAAACCGGCTGCCATATAACTTAGGTGCGATAAGCATCATGCTCATCATACTAATATGTGAGTGACAAAGCTATGAGAAAATAAATAATTTGTATTATGAACTTTCAAATTATATATCATATTAACCCAAACTTTAATCTTACTAACTATGCTAGCTTATATATTCGATATTTGACTAATATTATCAAGTTATGTGTTCACCGAGCATGCTATCAACATTTTTTTTCAATACAAATTAAAAATTATATTTTTTTGCCTAAATAGTAAAAAATGTCTAAGACTAGCCAATCATTTTTTGTCACATGACATTCATATGAAGGTTTTTATAAAATATTTAACACTTTTATTCAATAAATAATATGTATATAACAAAATTATATTGGTTAAATACTATATAGACGAGTTAAATTAACAATAGTAGAATTTAAATTAAAATAACATATTATTGAAACTTCAGGTGTAAATTGTATATTTTATTTCTTTCGATATCAATTCGTACATTTTCCCAAAGTTCAGGTACCAAAAAGTATAATTAACTCGTAAAAAATCTATATCTGCACCACTATCTCAAAAGATTACAACAACAACAAACTAAATCTTATATCTCATAACTTTGAAGATAGTTGTATAAAGGCTAAAAAAAAATCATGTTAGGTCATAGTTTTGAATCTTTTTGTGCCACTCATTTCTATAAAAAACAACATTTTCATCTATTTCTTTAACTTTCATATAATTTTTTATTACTTGCATCCACGTCTTTAATGAATTACCTCTAAAAGCTTTCGCCTCTCTAAAATCCAAAAACTCATTTCTCCTAATGCACAAATAGACTTATATTTCACATGTCCAAACCATCTCAAACGATCCTCTCTCATCTTTTTTTCAATTTGGACTACATCTAATTATTTTTAAATCTATTTATTTATAATTTTATTTATTCTAGTCTTACTACTATCTCAAAAGATTGTTGGCAGATAAAGGAGTTTAGGTCTCCTCTTCGTGGATGTTGCAAATATGTTTGATAGATGATAATACTTTAGATTCAAACACCCCTCCTCAGCCCTTCCTACTTTCTACTTTTACAACTTGACGGGAAAGAAAAACTTATTTTTTATACTTACTCCTCACACAATGTCGATATAATATCTGTTTTCTCAAGCTCTTCCATCTCTTCCTGGAAAAAAATACATGAAGAGAGAAAGAATAAGACATACAAAACCCAGATACGGTATCTTTCAGCATAACAGAAACTTTTTGCATCACAAAGCATGACATTGCTCAAAGCAAGACAAATCTCATTGATATAAGTATGCTGAAATCACCATCTGCCTCAGAAAGCAGTAAAGATGGGCAAAGTTAGGATGGGACAAAACCCAAGTCTAAGGGCCAATTACCTAGAACTCCATAACAATTGCGCTAGTCATGAATTTCCAAATCCGCAGAAATGATGGCTAGTTAATAGTTAGGTATTTCTAGGTTTGCCTAGTTATATTACACATCATTTAAATACAAAACAACCTAGAAAGAAAAGAGCATTATTAAATTTTGTACAAAGTGAATGCATGAAGTGATACTCATAGATTCTATATTCACCTCTGCTTCTATGAGTGTTAATGGATAATGTATCAAAGGCAAATAGATGCCACCATTGAGAGGTTTTATGTTGTGCAAGTGCACAACATTTTTTTTTGGCCAAAGTGCACAACATTGCTAAAAGCTCCTTTGTTTCATTCATGTAAAGCAAGCCTGGCAAGACCAGCAAGTCAAATACTAATTCAAAAAGCTCTTTTCCATGACATAGATATTCCACCAGCAGTTTAAGCACTGAATATTGCCTTAATTCTTCATAATGACATATGGGATGCAATCAAGATTGATGACATTCTGCTTATGGTGTTTATGGTGGCAAAAGCACTAACTCAAGATGATTTCATCAATGAATTTAAGAAAATAAATAAATAAATAAAACAAAGAAAGAAAGAAATTTTAGCACATCCCATATAGAGCGGCCATAATATGAATGATCTGGAACTTCATCATGCCTGCAATAAGGACTTCCTAAACATCAGTATAACCTGATGAACGGAGCCAAGAATTACAAATTTGCAAAATAATTGCAGTATTCCAGCATACATCCAAAATATGATCAAAATCCTATTAAATGGGATGCCACTTAAGTGGTAAGAAAACTCTTAACCACCCAATTTTAATCTGTCTTGAATCTTCTTCCTACCATTAAGTCTTGCAGCATAAAGATCTTAGCTTTTTCTTCCAACGGCTCTAAATTACCTCCTTTCCCTACTTAGCTCAACTCACAAAGTACATGAAACATTCAAAGATGACATAAAGCTAAAGCTTTATAAGAATCCCAAAAATTTTGCTTCACTTTTCGATATGGGAATTATAATTTTTTTTTTAAAGAAAAGCTCATGAAAAGTCTGACATTTCTTATCCTGGAATATTCTAAAGAGTATTTTCAAGGTAAATTCAAGCTCCCTTTTTTTTTTTTTTTTTCTATCCTTACATTTATCAAAATACAGACAAAGTCAAATTTTGTTTAACTGCATTTGGAAAAGAATTACAGAGCAGAACATAACTGAAAGCAAGCACAATCCAGAAGGAACAGGAAAAAGAAAAAAAAATGAAGAAAAGCTAACCTCGAGGAATCTGGATTCTTGTTGGACACGCTTGAGTTCAGCAAGAATCCGATGCTTGCCTCTGGTATCAGCCGCTTGCTGTTCATCTGCCGAAGACGCCGTTTCTGACTCCATTGCTACGCGCTCGCCTGGCTGCTGGAAAGATTCAATTTCAACGCCACTTGCTCTTTCCAAAAACAATGCGGACCACTGCTTTCCACCCTTTTATTATTATTATTCTTATTATTATTATTATTATTAATTTCGAATTTTCACTCAATTAAAGCAACCAAGTCTGTTAAACCTGGCAGATCTGCAGTTGCTTGTACAAAGCTTTGATCTTTTATTTATTTTTTCATTCTTTCTAAAAACTCTGACAAGGAAAACGACTTCTCTTTCTTACTGTTTTCTTCGAAAGTTATTCTTTTTTCTGATTTCGATTCTCCTGCAAAAAATAGTAATGAACTTGAAAAGACTATTCTAACCTCATTTCATTTGAGGTTTTGGAGAAGTATTAAATCAAAATATTCTATGAATAATTTATAAATAAGTTTAATTTTTATTTTTTATTAAATTTAATAAATAATTATGAATAATATTCTAAAATTTATTAATTAAATGAATAAATTACAAATATAATAAAATTTATTTGTATTTTATTTATTTTAACCTTTACATTTTATACTCCTCACAGATTTATTCAATCAATTTCTTTCATTTTCCTTCTCCATTCAAAATTTTTTTCATAGTTTTGGTTAAATCATGTCATTATTGGCATTTAATAAAATGTCTCAATACATAGGAATTAGAATTATGGAGTGAAAACGCTAAGAAATTGTAGTAGACAGACAGCAGAAAGATGGTGTATTTTCTTTTCAAAAGAACAGTTTTGCTTTTGTTGTTGTCCAAAGATATTGATTGGTGCATCCCACTCTTGAAAATTGCCTTCCACTGCTGTCTCTTTCTGTTATCCCATTAACATCAACTCATATAATAATATACATCACCTACATTTAGACACTTTGTCATTCCTTCTGCCTCTTCTTTGTCTCAATGCATCACAATTTTCTCTTTCCTCAATATTTTAGTATCATGAATCGAGATTTAAGCTCCGAATTTGTGTGATTTCAAAACATCGAAAGGATAAATATCTGAGTCTCTGAATCGTGCGAGTACGGAGCTTAAGTCTCGACTCGTGACAAGTGATATCAAAATCAATCTTAAATTATTCGATCTATGTCAAGCACCTCAAAGGGAGGTGGGTAGGGTGGTCGACCTCCGTGAAAAGGGCGTCATGAGATTGGGTGAGAGAGAATGTCACGGACCTAAAGAAGAATCATAAATCTCACATCGAATATAATAGGAGGGTCACTGGGTATAAAAAGATGCACACCACCTCTTTCTTGTGAGACGCTTTTTATAAGACAAAACCGTGAGGTCAGTAAGGTCAGAACGGATAGTACCTCATAAGGGTGTAAATCGTTACGGTTAGATTGATTCAAGACGTCGAAAAGATGAATGTCCGGATCCTAAAACCTCGCGAGTTCGAAGTTTAAGTCTCGACCCGTGACATTAGTATCTCCTTGTTGACTGTAACTTAATTGTTTTTTTTTTAATATTTTGGGACTAAATACAAAAGCTGTAACAAGTTACACAACTTTGAGAGACATAAATAACCATATAGACTATTCTTATCACATCACCTATATTAATCCGATAAATTCGAATATGATGTGCCATGGAAAATGATTCGTGTCAATATTTATAAGTTCAAGTTTCGTTTATATTTTATTGTCATTTACTTATTAAAGTTTCGTTCTATGCGTAATTTTAATGCAGTAAAAATTTAATCTCATTGCTTTAAATTCATGTTTGGAAACAAAGTCATTGACATGATTCACTCATATAGGGAGCCTAAGCTTTCTAATTAATACGCATTTGTGTTAAGTCTTTTGGTTTCAAATCAAGTTTTGGACGAGAATATTTCATTCATAATTTTTTTTATTATAGTATTAAAATTATTTAATTATAATAAAAAATTATATAAAATCATTATTTATAAATATAAATTTCATAAAAAATTTTAATGAATCGTATTTAATTTTAAATTATAATTGATTAATTGTGTTGATGATATATTTTCGTTTAGGATGGGATTCTTTGTGCTCTAGGACAGCAATAGTATTTAGTAGATATCAACATATCCTTTTTTTTCGAGACTTTGTTTATAATCATTTTTAAAAAATAACATTCAACACATCTAATATTTAAATTTTGATTCTTACTATATATATATATATATTTTTACCCTCAATTTTGTGTGGTTTAATCATTGAAAAATAAAAAATGACAAAGAACAAAACAGTAAGAAAGTGGAAACAAACATCGATACAAAGGTTTGGGGTTCCATCAGATTTAGACATTGGCTAATTCCCCCACATTTTTTTACAAGCACCACCAAAGCAAGCCATTTGAATCTCATTACCTTTTGTGGGTGGTGGGAATTCTTCATAAATAGAAGAATTCAGCTCAGATTCATATTTCTCTCCATTTTCCTGCAGTGCATAAGCTTCCTATCCATAGATTGCATCATCCCCAGTTTGCAATTTGCCTGAACAAATAGGACTAAAGATTCATCCAATTAAGCATGACAACCATTTATATGACCAATCCTCTCTGTCCATAAGGTGAGCCTGATTTTAACATGCTAGGAGATGGAGATTTTCCGTTGCCATGACTTGGCTGCGAGATATCAGGAGATGTAGAATGGAAGGACCCAGTGCTCCTTGACCTAGAGGACCTGAAGCCTGATTTGTAGTTGTGTGGGTATCGTTGATCATCTATTCGAGGACCAAGACGAGATTTATAAATTATTTCCCAGTCTAATACAACATATTTGCTCACTAGAGAATTATAGAGGAAAAACAATAATATCAATTGCATATCTGCAATATTCAAGCTTAGGTTATTTGTTATTAATATAAATAAGCAAATGGATGGTCCCACAGTTCAAATCGATCTAATTATACTATGGAATTAGCTTATAATTCATGTAATGATATGGCTATACATTTGAGTATTTTTCTTTTTCTATATTATTTTTTCAATTACAGCTTTGCAAATAAGTTTCAGTTTTCTAGGGATAAATATTAAAGAAAAAGTTGACTAACAATTTGACATTTTTTCCTTGGAATTATACATATTTTTTTAGTTTATAAATGACATTCCTCCTTTATCTTTCACATTGTGTGATTTAAAAGTTTCCCATAAATTTAGCATTCTTTTCCATGTCAAACCAACTAGCCAATTAACATGGAAATTAATGGAAAAAAGATTATTGCATAATGGTTTGCCCTTTAGATAAAAAAAAAAAAAAACAGAAGTGGAATGGCTCAAACATGCAGTTGGAAACTTTTGATGGAAAATCTTACATTATGACCAAATTTAGAAGCTAATAACTAATTTATCTAAATTAAGTCAATATTTTAGTTTTAAAAAAGTATTTTTGAATAATTAAAGCTTATATGCAAAATGTTATGAATTGAATATTGTATATTGAAAGACGTAAGACCTATGAAGCAATGATCAATTGATGAAGAACAGATTTAAGCCTTGTGATGAATAATAAACACAAACAAGTACAAATGACTAGAGCAATGGCCACTTGCAGATCACGAAGTCCATCTCAGAATGAATCTATGTCTAATGCAATCAAAGTACACACACTTTACAGCTATGAAAGACAATTATGACATGTAGACATGGATAGACATGAGAGAGAGAAAGGAGAACCTGAAGGGCTATGGCTTCTTGGCAGGCTTCTACATCTGCGGGTTGACTAATCAGACTGATTTCTATAGCTTGAATATCTTCACCAAAATAAAAAAATGTTATTAAGATTTAAGAAACGGGGAACAGCGGCATCCTTTTAGTCAAATTTTTGTGGGATTAACTATATGGTTTCTTTCTGGAATATTTCTTCCACCATAATGGTAGGATCTCATTGGGGAATGCTTAGGAGAAGGTGTACGGTATCGACGTGCAAAGGAATAGCAGTCAGGAAGCCATGACCTTTTCTTATGCGCTTTGACATTCCACCTGAGATGGACTTCTCGAGGAAACACGCCCTTGGTTAGATGCAGGGAATTTCCTTGCAGGACTACTAGGGGCTACGTGAAGTCTTTCCATGGTTCTGCACGCTAGATTTCCTAGGAGGGCTTCTAACATCATCCTTGGGAGGACTTATGCTTTGGCTTCTTCTACTGTTGTTGTTTGGACTCCGTTTAGGGTTTGGACTCACACGTCTGTGAAGCACATGGTAAAGGAAACATTGTCAATGAAATTACAAAGTAGATTTCACAAGAGAAGTGAAAGTCAAACAGATAAAAACAACCCAAAAAACTTACACAAGTGTAGTTAGATAAGAACAGAAACCTTGACCTGTCTGAGCCATCTACATAGGTACTTTATTAGCAGCCATGTTGCCATGACCATAGTTCAGAAGCTCATCAATTTTCGGTGACAATTCACCTTCTTCATGTGAGTTGTTCCCAGTTACCTTTAACTCGTTATTCCTATGTAGTCCTGCATTAGCATCTTTTCCACAAAGTTGGCTTGGCACATTTTTCTCTACATCTGTGACATGACAATCTGCCAATGGTTGAACCCACAGTATCAACATTAAGATGCCTGCAGAATCTAAAAACAATCCCACTCTCATATTAGCATGCTTTTGGTTGCATGTCACCTATACTAAAAAAATAATGCCAGTGGATGAGTTGCTAATGTATCCTCACATGATTGGTGGACAAGAGTAAGGATTTGGGTAAAAGTGTAACATCCCCATTTAAAAAAGTTTGGTTTTGCTCAAAAGCTTTAAAATGCCCGAATTCAAGTGCCACTAGAATCATGCATGAGATGTGCAGAAAGCTAGAATAAAGAATGAGAAAAAATTAGAGGCAAAAACAATAAAGGATGAAATACCAAGATTCTGCAGAGAATAATTTTCAGCAGGTTTGGAGATACGATTGGTAAGAGCAGAAACACAACACGAACCGGCCTTTCCATCATCACTGCCAGTGCTAGTCCTTGTACTCTCACTGTCACTTTAACTATCTGAACTCCTGAAATAAAACCATCATCAACAAACATAACAAAGTAACAATCAAGAGGGGCAAAATTTTGGAGGATTGTCCTTGAAACCAGGTTGTAACCAGACCATTTGGATTTGCAATCTGATCTATTTTCTCGCCAGCCTTTTTTTCTCCCTCTTCGCCCATCCTTCATCTTTTTCCCATGTTGATGCTTGACTCATTTTGCTGACCTCCTTCTCCTATGTCTTCTGCCATCACTAGAGTAGCTTCACTCAGATGCAGAGACATCAGACTCTGAATCTGAAGAATAGGAATCGGAATCAGACTCAGGATCAGAGCTGTATGAATCAGAAGAATATCTCCTCTTTCTTTTTTTTCCTTCTATTCTTCATGGATGTTTTGCTTCCTCTAGCTTGCCCATCAATAAAGCTAGGTCTAAGCCCACTTGCATGCAGCCAGAGTGTGGGCCTGGATGACCCAACCTTCCATGGACCGCCATAGGTTTGATGGGAAGACTTAAGACCCATAAGGCTCTAACTATCGTTTCAAATTTCAGGTCACCAACAATTTTTTTTTTCAATTGTAAAAATAAATACATACGTCAAAACCAAATAAATGGATTTCTATTGAAGCAACAGTATACACTTATAAATGAAAAAACTAACGAGACTGCACTGTTTTGGAATTATTACTTTTTTTTATATATAAAAAAATTAAAAATACTGTCAAAATTTACAGTCAGTAGTCAATTTCACTTGAGCTTCTTCGGTCTTCAATTCACCTATCGTCTGGAAGGCATGGACCCTTCCTTGCCCCAAAATCTGGAGGAATACAGCGCTTCCTCAACAACCATAAAATTCGACCGCCCTATTCCTTTACTCCGGGGCCCCATCCCTGCCGGTCCTTCGGATGACCCGTCCTCTGGTCCATACCTCCTCGCCTTCAAAGACCTTCCTTCCTGGGCCGCCGCATACAAATCCACCGAGTCAAAAATCATATCTCAATGCGAGGAAGGTGCCAGAATCGGATGCGCCATCAGCGCGTCCAACAAGTGTAAACCCCCCTGGTGGCAATCTCTGATTGGCTGGAAATCAATGGACTTAAAGGAGAGAGAGCGCTGCGAAGATCGTGAAATGGAAGAGTGTTTGGTTGCGGCCAAGGAAAAGTGCGTCGGCTTCGCTAAGGAGAGATGTACTATGCCGTTTCTGGACGCGAGAATCGCGGTGGGCGAGAGGGAGGTAAGGAACAAATTGGCCGGGAGGATGGTACACTTGGCGTCAATGCCGGTGGAAAGTAGGTGGCGCGATTTGATTGGGTTGGATAAGTTAGGAGAACGGGAATTTACGGTGACCAATTATAGAGCGAGTCAATATATGCTCTCCGGTTCCCATTTTCAGACGTGACATGGCAATGTGGTTGCAGAATTGTTGTCGAATTTTGAAGCAGTGGCAACTTTAAAATGACAATTGGGTGCTGTTTTGAACAGACAACACTAAGCTCAGGTATATTTAATTTAAAACTTTATTTATGACAATTATATGAAGTTATTTTCCACCATTGGTGGGGAATTTGGACAGATACATTTATGTTTCAAATACTTTGCAGACTGATGAAAAACACTTAGATAATGTTAGAGATTTTCATAAATTTATGTGCATTTTCCATTAGAAATGCTTTGCAGACTGATGTTCCTTTGTATATCTTTTGAAAGTTCAATGAGATGTTGTTGTCTATGCGTGGGTTTTTTCAATTTTTAGTTTTATCAAACTTCCAGGAAGTAGGATATATATACACTTAGGTCTCAGGCTAATTTAAAGGCAAATGATCTGACCTGATGGATCCTTTTAAAATGCTCTTCATATCCGTATCATCAGGTTTTTACTTTTGTTACGGCAATTACCATCAACAGCTCTAGTGTAAATATTCTTCATTCCGGTATCATCTGGTTTTTGTTCTTGTTACTGCAATGACCATCAACAGCCATACAGTGTAGCCTTTTTTTTCCCATCCACTACATAGCAGAGGGAGTGAAAAAAGTTACAGCAGCATATGCTAGTAAAACTTCTGGATAAAGTATAAACACGGAGGAAGCACAAAAGAATCTACATTGATGTGGAGACTAATTCACGACTGTCTTAACATTTTTGTAAATGGCTTGATGTTGTAATTTATAATGGCTGTTGAGGGACTTTCTAAGGAAAAATTAATGTTTGATCAGTTCTCATAAATTCTTGACATTCATAATTCTATGGGTAGTTATTTGGTAGTAATTGAGACTAACTTCATAATTATTTCCTTTTTACCACCATCACAATATCAGATGTTCTTGTTGGCACAATAGCACTGCTAACGCTGCAGCCACCTTTCAAACCACCTTCATCGTTATTCCTCTTTTGTTATTTCACATTACTTTCATGCGTGTGACCGTTAGCCGATGGCACTTTATAAGTCACTACTAAATTTATATATCCATTTCATTTTTTACATTTTTTATCACTTCATCTTTAAACATAAAAGGAAAAAAAAAAAAAAGAAAAACCTTCAGCATATATCATGATTTTCATGGCACAACCATCTTGCGTCTGTATCACTTTCATTTTCCCTTTTCTGTAAGGCGGTCGGTGTATGTTTATAAAATGGTCAATGAGTTAAGCCCTTTTACATGTAAAGGTCTTGTTTTTCTCCCAAGTCTCATTTGTTACTTCTCTCCTTTCTTTGGTAGGTCATCATTGGGTGGAATAAAGAAATCTTTTGGGGAAGGTAGCGCTGTTGGCAATTCCACAATAGTCTAGATGGTAATATAATTTTCTTCTATACTACCATATAAAGTCTAGATGGTAACATGAAGGCAACAGTTTGATTAAGTTATGACAAAATCTTTGATTCTTTGATTTGGTGCTCACCATTCTCCAAGTATTAAATACTATAATACCTATATATAAATTGATCTGGATTCAAAGTGAATAAAGTAATCCCATTTGCCCATTTTTGTCTTCTTTTCCAATTTTCTACAATTCTCCCCCTTTTCTTCCTTTTGGTAGGTTTCCTTTTTCCTTTTTTTTCAAATATGATTTTTTTTAGAAACGGGCACCTTCTAATATATACACGAAGGAATCACCAGGTTAGTATTACTCCTATATATAAGCATTGTTATGAGAGATTAAAAGGTTAGGCAGTAATACATCTGTACCATGCATAGGACTCTCCTGGGAATTTACTTGGAAATTACTAGTAAATAGTTTGAGAAATTGTGTTAGTTTCAACAAATTTTGACTTTTCCCATTTTTCTGTGGCATTATGAGTGCATAAGATGGAACAGTCTCACATTGTGTCAGCATCAGGGTAGGTTCAGATTTGATCAACCCAGCAAAATTATTATTATTATTATTATTATTATATTGAAAACACAGGCTTTGTTGCATGGTTTGGCTAATGGCAGCCCTACAGTAGTGAAATTAGATTTCTAAAGTTTGTTTCTCTCCTCTCTCAACTACTAGTAGTATTAAAGAAAAAAAAGAGCCTGTGACCCCTTTTGGGTCTGTTTTGGGATTTAGGTAAGGGTAAGGTTATTGGGGTAGTATTTTTAGGTTTCAACTTCCATTTTCAGTGTTCATTGCTAGTGAATTGAGCCATCCTTTAAACCAACAAATGCATTACATTTTTCCCCTTTGGCCCAAGGCACACCTTTGCTGTTGGACGTTTAAGAGGGCGGCCATGTTGTAAACGGTGTCTAATCTTTTTTATGAAAGGTTGCTTTTAACCTTTTTGAATTGATCATGAAATTAATTGGGCATTTGCAACTGATCTTGCTTGTAGGAGCTCTGGTTGAGGGAGAGTTGTGTAGCAGAAACAGTTGGCCTGCTATGCCGTTGTTTTGAGTAGAAATTTGTTCCCTTCTCTAACCGCCAAGAAAGTTGAAATAAGGTAATGTCGTGGGTTGCTCGATCAAGTAAGGGAAATTCAAGGTTGCTGGCCTGACTAGAAATTTCACTTTGCTTTTGCCGTTATTATTGAAATCCTGCTGTGCTTTCGTTGACATTTCTAGACAAGGAGCGGTGGAACACACTGCTTTTACGTTGTGCTTGTCATGTTTAAAGTTCACTTCTGCATGTTTTCATTGGATTGTTTGTTTATTAAGGTCCAACACCATAATCCAGTTTTAAACGTTATTATCCAGTTTTAAAATTGGAAACTTGTGGCTACTGCTACCTGATTTTGACAAAGAATAGAAGTAAATTGAATGAGACTATTTCTGTGAATTAAATTTAAAAGCCCGATTGAGCTGACATCATGGCGTACTTGGATAAATCTGGCTCAAGGAGTTTCATTTAATAAAATAATTAAAATAATTTAAAAAAAAAAAAAAACAAAGAGAAAATGATGGAGATAAGCTGAAGATGTGATTGATATCATCAAAATAAAAAATGCTACTACCATGTAAGAAACTTGAAACAGATGAGCACACGATGTCAAAGATTGTTCTTGTACGAAATGCAATATCAACCATTTGAATGGCTATAAAAATTATAAAATAAATTCATAATAAATTTTTGGGTACAAAACATGCTTCAATTAGATAAAAATTGTAAATGTTGAAATTGAAATTTTAAATTTGAATACCAAAATGAATTGAATCTCAAACTTCTTATAATAAAAATTTCCAAAACAAATAAGTTGCTCTAATTTCAAAACCTTGGATTTAGATATGTAATTTTCCAATGAATTTACGTTTTGGATTTATTGCCAAGAGCCAACAAAAGGTGATTAATACTTGAGCTTAAAAACTTCTAGAACAAACAAATCAATTAAGACAATAACCCCTTGTTACGAATTTTTCTTCTTTCCCTCCATGCTGCACACAATCTAGATTATTTAGATATGAAATATATAAATATAATACAATCTTTTGAAATTTAATAATTTTTACACACATTAATTTTTTTTCAAGAAATGCAACACTGTTCGATTAGGCACAACTGTTATGGTGAATTTGATTCATACGCATTATCTGGAACTCATGTTCCAGATGGACATGACACCCCCTACACCCCTACCCATCCTAATCTAATGATTTAAGAATATATTTAGTATCTAATATTATAATTGAATAAAATAAATTAATATTATAAATAAGATTTGATTAAATAATATTATTTTATTATATATTTGTTTTATATAAGAATAAAATAAAATAATTTATTTATTGATTAAAATTAATTTTTATTTATATAATTTAAATTATTAATATAATTTAAATTATTAATATAATTTTTAAAGATATAATAAAATATATAAATTTAATTTTATAAATTAAAAATAATCTTTTTTATTTTAAAAAAATTAAATCATTTTGTACAAAAAAAAAATGATTGTGATTCTATCTTATCATCTTGCATTAACATGAATCAGGCGATACATCACTCGTGTGGTGGCATTTACCGAAAGTGGAAAATATAACGAAGTTGCAGGGGATGGCAATTGATTAGAGTAGATTATCACATCTTGGAAGTTTTACGGCATTGGCAGGTAGCGACTACAGAATTCTGCAAACCAGAAATTACGAGGAAACTGCCTATTTCATTGTCATCGCATTAAAAACGATTGTGTCGTCTGAGTCAATCTATTCCCCTTTCCAGCACGTTAAAGGCAAATTAAAGTCAAAACCGCCGAATCGAATTTGGACGTGATTGGCGCCTTTGATTCCAAGGAGTTCTTCCTTTTATAAAAAGAAGGAAAAATCTTGGATCATGGGAGGCCGGCAGCCACTTTGTAAAAAGAAGAGTTTAGAGTAGTGGGATTTTGGGTAGTTTAGATTGTAACTGGCAAGCAATTCCACCAGGTCAATTACCACATTGGAAAGAGCAACTGATAAGTCAGGCCTAAATCGGTTTCCTTCGTGCCTTCGTTCTGTAAAAGGCCTTGTTCTTCTTGCTTTATGTTTGGACTGTGGTGGTCCATGGGAACAGAGAAAAATAATAACAAAAGGAAAATGAATATGATAACATAATTAAGACCTAATTCGTTCATCACTGAAATAGATTTTTGCAAAATTGGGTTTATCTCCGGGCTTACAATTTTTTTCCCTAACCTCTTAGATATTAAATTTTGACTTTCATAAAAACCCCATGGTTAAGTAAAAATGAAACTAAGAGTTAATTTTAATAAATGATGAGATTAAAAACAGTAATAAAAATTATTATAATTATAATTAAAAAAAATTTATTATAAAAAATTTATATTGAATGAATCTTATTAAAATTGATATTTTGATTTAATTGGTGGTAGTTGAAGTTTAATTTTATCTCATTGAAAGTATAATTACATTTAAATATAAGCTAAAAAATATTAAGGTTGGGCAATGAAATTGAAACCAAATTTATATATCAAACTTCAAATTTATGCTTATTAATATTACATTAAAATTTTCAAAAAGTTAGTTCCAAATAAATTGGTTCCAAAAGAATGTTTAAAAAGAGATGAACCTAACTAGTTTTACTCCATTAACTATCACCTTCCAAAATTTCCTTCCTATTGCTTGTTAGGTTGATGGTAGTTTAGGGTGGGGAGGAAAAAATGAGTTATGGAATGACTCAAGGTTCTTTACCCTTTTAGTACTACAAATCTTGCCATAAAAGTCATGAAGGTTGGTGGTGGATCACATGTCTTAGAATATAAATCTCTTAGTGTTTGAGATTATCAAAAATTGAATTATAAACATTGAAATTCAATCAAATTGGATCTTGACATATCTGTGACTTATGAAATGGACAAAAATAATTTACATTAAAAATTTTTTGATGACTTTAAAAGCACTAATTTTTCAATCAACTTTGAATTTTTAACTTATTAGTTCATGGATGTCATAATATATATATTTTTTGGCCAAACATGGTATTTTCATTGTTTAAATCTATCAATTTATTGAAAGAAAACAAAAAAAAAAAAAAAATGAAGCTATTGCTTGTGACTCAAGTTGTCATTTTAGTAGTGGATTCATTTAGTTTACAAATTAATGTAGAAGACAATTGCGAGGTGACTAGGTGAAGATATGCGCCAAATTAATGCAAGATAAGACATATCAACTTTTTCTAATAGCAAGAAACTTCTATGAAGTTTCGTCTTCTATTATTACAACCCAACCCTGAAGGCAAAGCGGCAGTTCTTATTACTGTTTCCATGTGACTAAACATAACCAATCTCAAGCTTTCCATTATGATAATCAATAAATTCCATCCCTTAGTCCTGAAGGCTGCAATTTATGCCTTTATATGCAAATCTTCATGACTTACTTAAAAGCCACTTTGGAGCCTCAAATTCATAGTTCAAAGTACATTTACACATATTCAATAATGGCATGCAGCTTTACTTTATGAAATGACTCAATCAATTGAATGGGGAATGTACAAATTTAAAAATCACGAGAAAATAGTGAAATCACTGGAAAAGCAAAAAAAAAAACAAAAAGAAAATTCAAGCATTAGTAAGTAGAGTTGATATTTGATTAGATTCGAGTGGAGATGAGTTTTGTTCGTCTTGAATTTGATCTAATTTTATGTTTTATTGAATTTGAATTTGATTTTATTTAAATTTTTTTATTTTTTTATATCCGAATCTGATTTTGATTTAATATTATATAAATTATATTTGATTTGAAATTAATAAAATATTATTTTTTAAAATATAAAATATTGTTTTTTAATTTAAATATTTAAAAATATTATTATATAAATATATAAATAAAAAAATAAATAATTAATTAAAAAATAATTTTTTATATAATATCAGGTCAAATTTATTTAAAATTTAAATTTGATTCACTTTTAATTATTTTTTAATTTTATCCTATCAATCCAAAACTCAAATTAAAAAAAAAAATTTTAATTTTATAAAATAAAATCGATTCGAATTAAAATATGTTAGAAACAAATTGAATTGCCGACCTATTGATCATATTTATCGTGAGAATTGCTTGAAACTTAAGACGGTACGCAAAGGTATGTACTTGATCCAGCTAGCTTGCTTTTTCCCCCACGTAAATAAAAGCATTTTAAAAGTCAAGTGGAATGCCGCGTTGCCCATCAATTTGGATCTAGCTTATTATAGACAGCATGAAAGTGCTTACCACTTCATTTCGGTTTCTTTTTTGGGTCGCCGACATCAAACAAGATGATCAATCATCCAACCACAACAACCAGCAAAATCTTATTCACGTCAGCGCATTTTGGGGACGGCTGAGAAAAGTTAAAGAGGGGGTACAAATTGTACGGCTTTAAAATAATAAAGAAACTTTTCGGACGACTTTTTCATCTTCTCTTTTGATACCGTGAAATGACCGACATATGTAGTGAAAGTATAATGCTTTTTCTTCGATCTGAGATGGTGTCTGCCCCACACGACAAGAGGCTTACGAGAAGAATATTAGCTTAATTAGGGAGTATTTTCTCATTGTTGAAGCTGTGAAATTTCAATGGTTTGTATTTGAAATATACTTAGGATATTCTTTGTGCTAGTTGTCCGAGGTTAAATGTCTTAATTCACACACAAACTTGCGAAACCCTATTCATTTTGATTTCATTAGATCTCACAATTTTTAATCATAAAAAAATTTCATAAATTAAAAATTATGTGAACATTTATATCTTAAAATAATTTTAATATATAATTAATATAAGATTTATGATTCTTTTTTAGGATCATAATATAATTTTTTACTTCAACAGAGACTCATTATTTTTGAAAACATCACATATATTTTAGCTTTAATATTAAATATTAGAATTCATTAATTTATAAAATATTATCTGCTTTAATTTTATTATTTTACAAAAAATTATCTTACAACTTGTGAACACTTATATTTCGATTGATATAAAATTCATAATTCCCCTCTAGGGGCCATCAACCTGGTCAGTAACATGCTGCAACTGCAAACGTGGTTTGTTGACCAAACAAACATTAAATCAAATACGCTTTATAATTAGACATTGCTTCCCTTTAGTTGAAAGATTTTCATTTCTCTAATCAAAGGGAAAGCACAGTACTGTCTTCCCGACTCTAGTTTATGCATTCTTCTAATCTGTAAAAACCCTCCAAAAACCATGTCTAGCAGTGATGAATTTAAACTCTATGATTGTGGCACATTACTGCTCGATGTCACCACCTCCAGCTTCACCAAAGCTCAAAGGCGTTGGCGCATTGCCTATACAGCAATATATTCTGCCCGGGCAATGCTTTCACTTGCCAAGGAGATAATATCCAGAAGAGCTAGCCAACACCCCTCGGTGATCGAGCAGTTACATCATTACGTTGCCCTTGATATTGAACCATCAGGGTCTCAGCATTGGGGTGAAAATTTTTTGTCTTCCTCCTTTGCTCCGAAAATTGATCAAAAAATATTAGTAAAGTCTTTGAAAGAGAAAGACTTGGTTTCTCTTTGCCAGTTTGGAGGAGTTGAAGGCGTTGCTGCTGCTCTTGGTACAGATCCAGAATATGGAATCCGAAATGATGATCGAGAGGTTATGAAAAGGCAAGAGATGTTTGGTACAAATACCTACCGCCGGCCACCTCCCAAAGGGTTACTATACTTCGTCCTGGATGCCTTCAAGGATACCACAATTCTTATCCTCCTGGTATGTGCTGCTCTTTCTCTTGGTTTTGGTATCAAAGAACATGGCGCTGAAGAGGGTTGGTATGAAGGCGGAAGTATTTTTGTTGCAGTCTTTCTTGTGGTTGTTGTCTCTGCACTCAGTAACTTCAGACAGGAGACTCAGTTTGACAAGTTATCAAAAATAAGTAACAATATCAAAGTCGAAGTTGTTAGAGGTGGTCGTCGTCAAGATATATCTATATTTGATCTTGTTGTTGGAGATGTTGTCTTCCTCAAGATCGGAGATCAAATTCCAGCAGATGGGCTGTTCTTGCACGGATATTCGCTGCAAATGGATGAATCAAGCATGACAGGTGAGAGTGACCATGTGGAAGTAGATGCCAGAAGGAACCCATTCCTTTTTTCTGGTTCAAAGGTGGCAGATGGATATGCTCAAATGCTTGTAGCATCTGTGGGAATGGACACTGCATGGGGTGAAATGATGAGCTCAATAACCGGTGATAAAAATGAAAGAACACCACTACAAGCTCGACTGGACAAACTAACCTCTTCTATTGGAAAGGTAGGCCTTTTAGTTGCCTTTCTAGTTCTTGTAGTCTTATTAATTCGTTATTTCACCGGGAATACAAAAGATGACAATGGGCAGAAGGAGTACATTGGTAGCAAAACCAATGTAGACGACATCTTAAATGCAATTGTTCATATTGTTGCTGCTGCAGTAACTATTGTGGTCGTGGCAATCCCAGAAGGTCTGCCCTTGGCTGTCACTCTTACACTTGCTTACTCAATGAAAAGAATGATGGCTGATCAGGCAATGGTCAGAAAACTTTCGGCTTGTGAAACAATGGGCTCCGCTACAATTATTTGTACTGACAAAACTGGCACCTTGACATTAAATCAGATGAAAGTAACTCAGTTTTGGCTCGGCCAAGAGTCCATTGAGGAAGATCTTGCCAACATTATTGCCCCAAGTGTTCTTGAATTATTCTATCAAGGAGTTGGTTTGAACACAACTGGTAGTGTTTGCAAACCCGTCTCTGGATCCCTTACCGAGTTTTCTGGCAGTCCAACCGAAAAGGCAATTCTCTCTTGGGCTGTCTTAGGTTTGGGTATGGATATGGAAAAGTTGAAGCAAGAGTACAGCATTATCCATGTTGAAACCTTCAACTCAGAGAAAAAGCGTAGTGGAGTTTCAGTAAGGAGAAGGGCTGATGAAACAATTCACGTACACTGGAAAGGAGCAGCAGAGATGATTGTAGCCATGTGCTCACAATATTATGAGAGTAATGGGATCATAAGGTCCATGAATGAAGAAGGAAGGAGCAGAATTGAAACGATAATCCAAAGCATGGCAGCTGGTAGTCTAAGATGCATTGCTTTTGCTCATAAGCAAGTTTCAGAAGAAAAAATGGAATGTAATGATCAGAGCGGAAAGAACCATCAAAGAATAAAAGAAGATGGTTTAACCTTGCTAGGGATAGTTGGTTTGAAGGATCCATGTCGCCCAGGGGTCATGAAAGCTGTAGAAGCTTGCCACTCTGCAAGGGTGGGCATCAAAATGATTACTGGAGACAATGTTTTCACAGCAAAAGCTATAGCTACAGAATGCGGAATTCTAGGGCCAGATTACCACGAAGAAAGTGGAGAAGTTGTAGAAGGTATTGAATTTCGAAACTACACACCCGATGAGAGAATGGAAAAGGTAGACAAGATCCTGGTGATGGCAAGGTCCTCTCCATTTGACAAGCTTTTGATGGTGCAGTGCTTGAAACAGAAAGGTCATGTGGTCGCAGTCACAGGGGATGGCACTAATGATGCTCCTGCACTAAAAGAAGCCGATATTGGACTTTCAATGGGTATTCAAGGCACTGAGGTGGCCAAGGAGAGCTCAGACATTGTCATCTTGGATGATAATTTTAGCTCAGTTGCCACAGTTTTAAGATGGGGAAGATGTGTTTATAATAACATACAAAAGTTCATTCAATTTCAACTTACTGTTAATGTTGCGGCTCTTGTAATTAACTTCATTGCAGCAGTTTCTGCTGGTGAGGTTCCCTTGACAGCAGTTCAATTGCTATGGGTAAACCTCATCATGGATACATTAGGTGCTCTAGCCCTTGCAACAGATAGGCCCACTAAGGAGCTCATGCAGAAGCCACCTGTCGGTCGAACTGAACCGCTCATTACTAATATCATGTGGAGGAATCTTTTAGCACAAGCCCTATACCAGATAGCTATTCTCTTGATCTTACAATTTAAGGGTGAATCTATATTCAATGTGCCTGAAAGGGTAAAGGACACACTGATTTTTAATACTTTTGTTCTCTGCCAAGTTTTCAACGAGTTCAATGCAAGGAAGTTGGAGGAGCAAAATGTTTTCAAAGGCATTCTTCAGAACAGATTATTTCTTGGAATTGTAGGGATAACCATCATCCTTCAGGTGGTTATGGTGGAATTTTTAAAGAAGTTTGCAGATACAGAGAAGTTGAAACTATGGCAGTGGGGAGTTTGTATCGTACTTGCTGCATTTTCGTGGCCAATTGCTTGGTTTGTGAAGCTCATACCTGTTTCAGACAAACCCTTTTTCAGTTACCTCAAGAGGTTAAGAATCAGATTCACAATTGTTACGCAAGCTATCTACCACAGGAAACCTTCGTCTTGCAGCTGTTCAACTTGATGTGGAAAGATAAGGCTCTAAAAGTGTTGCCAAAAAAAAAAAAAAAAAAAAAAAAAAACTAAGGCTCTAAAAGAATTAGGCATACTGTTAGAATCACACCGCTGTCGTGTCTAAAAAAAAAGGCCAACAGAATGACATACTAATTCTGAATTTCTTATGTTTTTTATCTTGCTTTTTCTTGACCTCCTTTCCTGTCTAACTTTCAATTTTGTGAATAATAAAATATCAAGAAAAAGAAAGATAAAAAATGGAAAATAAAAGAGCTCTCTCTTAATGACCCTCCTCTGTTCTAGAAATGCCTGTGGCTCAAGATCATTCAGTGTTTGAGCCAAGCATTCCACAATTAGCTAAGCAACTTTGGAACAAGAAGAAGATTGGTTCATTGTGATAAAGCTCCTCTAGCTTTAATGGTCTAACATTCAGTTCAGCGTTGTCACTCTCTGTTGCCAAGACAAATTCGGAGAAGAGAAGAAAGAATGGTCTCTTCCTGTTTTTACCCTTGCCCAGCTACTAACTTGTTATATATAATATATGTGTCGTCTGAATGATAAGGCACTGGTCCTAGAATCATTGGATCCCCGATTCACCCTGACCTTATGGGGTTTGCTCTAACTTTACAATGAATTTCTCTAGCTACATGCAGATTGTTGTTTTATTCCATTGTGAGGGTTTTGAGACAGGATGACTTTTGCTATATATTGTAATTGTATTCCCGTATAAGAAAAGTTCCCTACATGCATCTAACTAGAGTGTCTTCAAGAATTCTACTTGTTAAGCATTTGATAGGCATTATAGTTAAGAAGCCAAGAAGGGAATATGACTTGTCTCAATTTTCAGCATATAAAGAGGAAAAAGTTTGCAGTAGTTCACTTAGTGTTTTTTCTTATTAAGGGACAAATTTTGCTGCTCACCTATTGTTATGTTTCTTTTTAAAATAGAATGTTAGTTCTATCCTGGAATATTGAGCATCTATACTATATTTTGTTTAGCACTAGGGGGTTAAAGAAAAGCCTTCTTCCTATTTCATAGCTCTGTAATTCAATGGAGAAAAAGGCATATTGGATTGTCAAACAGTGATGCGTGACATTCCAAAATTTTAGGCAAAAGAATGCATAAGCAAATCACCGTCCTATAGTGTAGCCTCCAATCTCCATTGATAATTTCATAAACAAATGCTTATGGTCATTGGAAGAAGAAGGCTAGTAAGGTGGTCCAGGCAGCACCCTAGCAACAAGTTCATGTACAGACGGTCATGGTGCAAGAGGGGAAGAGTGTATTTCCTAAATCAACAACAAAAAACTAGGCCTTTTCCCATTACAAACTTAGGCAAAACACAGCTCTCTACCTGTTTGCAGAAGGCAAATGTTTTTACCAAGGATGCACGGTTAGATCGCACAAATCCATAAAAACAAAAAGACTGATCTGAATTCATCTTTTATTCAACGAACTCCTTAGATTTGAGCAGAATTAGAAGTGGACAACTCACACAGTAGGCGACTGAGTGTCACTATCAATGAGCTATGATATTACCAGAAAAATTGGACATGAAAGTGCAACCTCATACTTTCATTTTTTTTGCTTTATAAGTTTAAGATTGAATCCAGATTCAATCAAAGCCCAAAGCCACAAACTCCTGAAATCGGTCCCCTGGCAAAAGCAGCAGTTCTACACAACCTAGCATGACATAATAGCAAAATCCATATCAACATTTGAGAACTGAAATTAAAGCTTCTTTGAATAAGTGAATCTTTATCATTTCGAGGAAACAGTACAAAAACATGCAACTTGTCACTTGAGAGATAAACTAATACAACTTAACTATTGAATCCATAAATGTAAGGATGTTGCAAACAAATGTCATTGCTACTTTTTTTCTAATTTGCTTCCTCAAAATTCGTTATAAAGCTAAGGCAAAAGGAAAGAGTAAATAGAGAAAAGAAAATTCATAATTGGTTAAAAAATGAGAAAAGGGCTAAATTTAACATCAATCAAAACATAATTGTTCCATGTAGAAGTAAATTCATGAAATTGTTAATTGAAATCCATAAATTTATTTTTTATATTAAAAAATATTGTTTATTTTGCATCAAAGTTGACCTTTTTCTTTCATAATTAATAAGTAAGGAGCAAAAGCAACAATCAAACAAGTGAATGTAAGACTAACATTCAAACCAAACCCAGAAAGAATATAAAAGCAAACAACAGAAGGAACCATAATTCAAACTACTGGAACCCATTTACTTTCTTCGAGATTGCTTTGGTTTGGCAATCAAATAAACATCATCCATTTGACAAAACAAAGTGAACAGAAGGGAATTGAATGTTACCCCTGCTTTCAGCAATCTTTACTCAAAATTCCCTTTAAAAAACACGTAAAAGAAAACTCTGAAACAAATCTTACCAGTATCCTTAAACACTGGCATTTGACAGTATGGTGAGAAAACAAGCAGCATGTTAAATCAAGCACCAAGTCCATTTGCTCATGGGTCTTTTTCAATGAAATCCAAACAAAACTTGACATTGAAACGATTAAGCAAAGGAAATAAAAATGAAGGAGAGAAATCATATGGAAAAGAAATAAAAATGCAGCATTTGTCATGAAGCATGATGTATAACAGACAAAAACAAAAAGAAAAGAAAGAGCCAAGAGCAAAGCCGGGTACCTTAGTGGAGCAATGAAAAAATTGTAGTAGTACGAGAGCGGATTGTTCCCCACTTTTCCTTTTTCTAATGTTGGAGTCACGAAGCTTCCTCATATTGGTAGGTTCGTCAAGAAGCACTTTTTCCAACACTTGTTTTGTTCTTGCCAGTTGACGAGGTTGTTTCTTGTCAGACTGTCAAAAATACCAAAGAGTCCTTACCATATGAAGTACTATAACGCTAATTAAATAAAAATGAAATAATAAATTTGATCTTGTTATATGATAAAGAAGTTGATTGAAAGTTAGTTATTGGCCTTACTTTTGATTATTTATTGATTTCTTAAAAGGTTCATGAACTTACAAATCTAGCTAGAATTTTTTTTTTCAAAGGGCTGCTGGAGATAACGATAAAGTGGTTATAGTTGCTGAGACTTAAATTTTAAATTAATTAAAATTTATTTTTAAAAATTATTATATAAATTAATTAAATAAAAATTTATCTTAATAGTAAAAAAAAAAAAAAAGACTTCAAACCTTTAGATTTTTAGGTTCAAATTCTCCTAATGCTCATTTTGTCCAAAATTATATATTGATTGATTAATTGTTAATTTGGTTTGCTTTCTAATTTCTCTTTCCGATTTATATTAAAAATTATTTAATTATGATTGTAATTTTTTAAAAAATATATATAATTTAATAAAATTATTTATTTTTGTATCTAGACACATCATTTCTTTTTTCTTTTTTAAGAAAAAAATAAATAATAATAAAATAAAATGAAATGAAATCCAACTTATAAAATTTAAAGATGATTAAATCATTGACTTGAAATAACATCTCCTTGTCACTGTATGTAACTTTTTAATGAAATGACAAGAAAATATTATCTATAGTTTTATAAATTTAAAATTTTCGAATTTAACATAAATTTTTTTATAATATATATATATATATATAATATCATGTTTACGTAACAAAATTTCAAATATGATTTCACTCAAAATTTTTTCAGACTACTCTTCAAAGTGGGTCGAAGGATAGTTAGAATTCGTTCATAAGACATTTTGATTTAATATTTTAGGTAAATAATTATAGAATTGTTGTATTTTATTGGTTTTATTTTTTATTTTTGGTTTATTTTGCAGTTGTATGTATTATGTCATGGTTGTATTATATAGATTTAATAATTTAAAATATGATATATATCTAATATGAAAATAAAATACAAATGTAATATGACTTAAAATTTTAATAATAATTATATATAAATTTAACAAAATCAAAAAATTTATTTCATATTTTCATGTCAAATATAAATTGACACATAATTTTAATATAAAATATAATTTAGATAAAAAATTTTAATATTATAGACTATATAAATATACGAATAACTAAATTTAGTGCGATCCAAGAGAATTTACCATTTGCCACAATATATGACTAGTGATAATCTATAAATTCCCTGTGCTAACTTTTTGGTCCAAAATGTATCAATATTGGGCCTATTTAATAGGTCTGTTTGTTTTAAGTAAACGTACGTCAGTTGGAATAAACTATCTCTGTCGGCCCAATATCTATACCCGACCCTCGTCATATCAGTGTCGCACCATGCCGGAGGCAAGGAAAGGCAGGCAAACCAACAACTTCACCCAATGCTAAAACCCTAAAATCAACAAATTGATAACCACTGCGCTCACCATCATCCTTCATACTCATAAAAAAAAAAAGTTGAAAACCCATGAGTTGTTTGTTCACAATTATTTATAGTCCATGCACACCAGCTACAAGACAGGAACTGAACTTGTGGGCATTTTCAATGAAAGCATTTGAGAGAAGGCAAAGGGTTGTTTTGCTCGTGATCCTAACCACAGGTGAAGCTACCACATGATCCAATCTATCCTCGACAGAGAAGGAAGGTTTTATTTGGATGGATTGTAAGATTAGCTACAGTGAAACTAAAATAATAATAAATTTTAATGTAATTGTAATTGAAAAAAATTTTAATAAAAAATTTGTATCGAATAAATTTTATTAAAATTAATATTTAAATTTAACCATAAGCTCAAATGTATCAAAAGTACAGTGAACTTCAAATGGGCACGAAGTTTAGATCATGTTGACAGCTTCAACGGCTAGTGGGTAATCATCTAGTTGATCAGCTAGCTCCATAATATTCAGACAGAGAAAAAGGGAAAGAAATTCAACTGAAAGTAATTATCAATCCTTGAAATTATAAAGAGGGTAGTTAGAGAAAAGGAGCAAAAGGGAATATATATATATATATATATATATATATATATATAGAGAGAGAGAGAGAGAGAGAGAGAGAGAAATATTTAGTGACTAATTTTTAGTGACATTTTAAAATAAACGTCACAAAGTTTTGTGTTTTTATAAGATTGGTGATTTTATT